TTATTCTTTCCCAACTTCCATCCCATCTGGTCCCCATCCTCTCCAGAATCTAGCTATGCCAGCTATTGGCCCTGCTCATGGTGTTCCAGCTATTCCAAATATGGTCCAAATCCAGGCTACTATTCCTCAGTCACTACCAGCCTCCTCTTTCACTCATGTTCCTCCACAATGTGCAAATCCTTCTCAAGTCCCAGCACAATCCTTCGCACCTATACAGGCTTCCACAACTTCTCATCTTCCACATGCAGCCCTCCAAAATCACTCTGTCCCCCCAGGCCCGACCCATTCCCAGTATCCTGCCTCTTCCAATGCATATCCTCCTGTTGCTCCATCTGAGATCGGCTCTTTTTCTCAGATGAATCCAGCTGCCCCCTACCTGCCTGACATGGTACTGCACCCTTCCCTTCTACCTCCTTTAGATCATGCTCTTCCCTCATCTGCTCCGCCTTCCCGCTATAACCCCTTTCCTTCCTATCCTCTCCGCCTGTGCCAGGACCCTCGGACCTCCTTTCATTTACCACTCAGGCACATTTACAGACAGCCCCAGCATGTACACTCTAATAACCAGGGGCCCTACCTGGACCTGGGAGGAAGGGCAGCATTCTGAAGAAGAGACTCAGAAGATAATAAGTGAGATCTCTGTGAAAAAGATGTGATTTTATGTTTAAGTGGACTCTCAGCAACTTTGTGGCTGTTTTATTTTTGTCAAGCATTTAAATTAAAACATGGCAGTTTTGTAGAGCAGTTATGGCTTCAAATAACTAAATGCCTTTTATTTAAGATCCCAACAGATGTCAATTTCTAGTCTTAAAATGTTCATTCATTATTATTCATCATTCATTATTCAATCTGAGCATTTTTATGAATGAGTTTTGCTGTTTATAATTTTTCAATGTATCTATATACTGATAATAGTAAATAAATTGTGTTTCTTTTTAACCTTCTTTTTGCATTCTTTTGTGAATAAATGCAGTGAAGTTTAACAAAGCACTTCGCAATAGCTTTAGCATTGCTATCTTATTCATTTATACCCTTCAAGAGTAACAAAATATGAACACAACCCTTTTGCAATAAATGCAGATACCCTAATCATGCACTACACCCATAAAACACAACTATTCTACACCAGTAACATTTGTCAAAACATTGGTCAAAAAACATAATGTTGATGAATGAATTAAAACCATTCAAATGCTGGCAGTTGGTGGGTGGTAGCCTGCAACCAGAAGCGTGTGGGTTCAAATCCCAGGATTGACTGAGTATACATGGTAGTACCCTTATGCAAGGCACCTACCACCCCCCTCCCTCCACACAGCCCTACAATAGGTTGCCTATTTAATTTAATAGTGGATTGTAGTGTGGCAAGCCTTGAGAGCATCAGCTTGTCTCAGACCAAACAATTTATGAGTAAACGAGCAAATCTCATTGTTGTGAAAAAGCTTAGGTACTGGCCACTGCTATGTTGGGTTTAACGTTGGATGATGACAATGCGAGAGTATGAAGCTGTCCAGGGTAGTTTATCGTTAGTATTCACTACCATTCATGAGCTAATCCCATAGATTAGATGGAAAAAATAGTCTTTGCCATTGTGACACAATTTAGTTTAAGGAATAAACAAATAAAAGATTTAACAACTTAAATGATAGGTTCGAGTATGAAAGGCCCATTTGCTCTAGGGCAGGTGCTGAAAAAGGTGTGGGGGCACTGTGGGTGATGGGGAGGGGGTGTCATTAATGAGCAGGTGATAATGACTCCAGGCCCCTCCTATCTTTCTCGCCCCATTTGGTGAGACAGGGGAAAAAAGGTTAGATAAACAAAACCACACTGAGTGAATGTTTTATGAGGGGAAAATAGATTTAAAACACAGTGAGATCACAACTTACTGAAAGCTGGGGCATCTCATTTGACTGTATTACATAATACAGAGAGAAAAACAAACAGGACAGGACATGTGAGACCTTAGATCACATGATTGTTTGCACCATCAGTCACTTACAGTCAAGCTTATGATGCGTTTACGATGACATCATCACAAATTATTTCAGTTTCACATTTACATTCATTCTGACATGCAGTTTACTGACCACTACATATGAAATCCAGTACATTTATGTTTAGTCAATGTCATTTAAATTTCAGACAAACATTGTGAAACAGTGAAAAAATACATAAATACATAATTAAAATACATTCTGGACAATTTATACCATTTTCTTTGATGTGGATTTGTCTGAGGTGCTGCTTGGTTAAGTTGAATGACTCTTTTAAGTGGTTAAATAACAACTTTCTTAGAATTTCTAATTTTTCTTAAAGTTTTAAAGACTTTTTAGGTAAATTTAGGCATTTCGATTATTTTGCCATTTTCATAAAAAATATGAAACTCTTCAAATATGTTCAACAACTTCTGTCCACTCTGTCATCTTCAAGAAAATGACCAGTGACATCATCAGTGACATCACAACCTCAATATTGTTTTAACTTCAGTGGACTGAACACACCCACTGCATATTCAGCAACTACATTAGTTAATATGTTTCACTCCACTGTTTCCATGCATAGCTGAGGTCAAGCTTTAGGTGTCCACCCTTTTCTGGTGAAATGCTGAGATAATTAAAATAATTTTAGAAAATCAAACAATAGGTCAACCATGTGTTCATCAAATGCTAACTTTAGCTGAAACTGGACCTTTTCTTTGATGTTTTCTTGTTGTTGTTGTTTTGGTACCACTTTAGAATAACAGTACCTTTATGAAGGATTTATGAATGCTTTAAAATGACTTTATTAATAGTTACTAGTTATGTCATAAACACTTCAAAAATTATTAATGATCAGTTGAGCACTAATAGTTTGAATAGATGTGGGTTCACTATTAGGCGACCAGCTCACTGTTGCCCTTTCTATTTATGTTGTCACTGCTTATTAATTATTTGTAGGTGTTTATGACCTAGTCATAACCATTAATAAACTCATTTTAATCCATTAATGTCCTGCTCAACCATTTGGTAGAGCACATTTTGAGTCACTATATAAGCCACAAGGTGCCATCTCGACCATTTGGCAGACGTGAATATTAAAAAAACAAATAAAACATAAAAATAATACAAAATAAAAAATGCAAAAAAAAATCTGTTGCTTTTTTCTTGGTGAGGACATTAAGGGGTTAAACAATTCATAAACCCTTTATAAGGGTAGCCTTATTCTAAAGTGGTTCCGCTACTGATGTTTTTTTGAGGTTTTAAACTGTTTTTAAACAGGATCATTTGACCTCCTGTCATTCATCACAGTGAAACAAGAACACTTTAATAGACAGCATGACCAAAACACAGACGCACTCAGTCACTCACCCGAAGCCACTCTCCACTGTCAAATACAAGCTTAGTTACTTATTAGGGACTCACTGTTAATGAATCTACAGCCACTTTTGTAGACAGGAAATGTCCTTGTCCACTCTGCCATATCCTGGTCCAGCCTGTCATCTTCATGCTATAATTAATCAGTAATTCTTCAGGTAAACAAACCATTATAATTGGTTTATTATACACAACTCTGGGTTCAGTCATTTCACTCCAGATTGTGTTCAAAGATGTTTACTGCAGTTGTTTAGGGGAAATATGGTGTCTGATGCGGAAACAGTGAGGAAAGTAATTTTATAAAAAAATCCATAAATCTTTTTGTTTTTGAGGGGCCATAAGAATTACAGTAGAATGTATATGTTACTGTTGTCAGAAGAAAACCTTGTATCTCCAAAATGACAACTATACAGGAAAAGGGAAAAAACCTTTACTCTTAATGTAAGTCAATGGAACCAGACTTCTTTCCAAGTCATTTTGGGTCATTTCTTTTAGTCCATTTGTCATGAAATGTAAACACAATGTAAAGGGCTACAGGCATTTTCAAATTATGTCATACGAGGTTTCCTTCCGACAGCAGCGATGTGTTGTGTTTGTCTATGACACAGTGGACACTTGTGGTTGTGTCATAAGATGTTGTCTTGCCATTGTGAAATAAACAGCCTTATCACTATGATGAACATTCACAGGAATCAGTGTGGGGGTTAGTGAAACTACATGCAATTAAAATAGGAGTTTAACTACATTTTGCAGTAGCTCGCTGGTAGTTTAACTACATTCATATTTGCATAGTGATTTCGAGTAGTTAAATCACTTTTTTGCCATTTTTTGTGTACTTAACTACTGAAACTTCAATTTTGGGTAACACTTTGTTTAGACGGTCCACTGTAGATGCTTTGTAGATGCTCAGTCTGTCTTTAACTAACATTCAAATGAATATCTATTAAATGCAACTGAACTTGAAGTTGCATGTAAAAGAATCTATTAAATCCATCCTTTTCAGTCGACAAGGACACTTTTAGTGGCAAACGGAACCGCCTGCTGGATAAGAACTTCGACAGACTGCTTATGTGTCGAATAATCAAGAGATTCTGCTCTGACATGTGGGCCCACTGTGTAGACAGGCCCACTGTGTACACTGTTCTAGTTATTAAGGCACTTTTTGCAGTGAACTCAATTTGAGTGGCATTCTTTGCTGGCATGTGACTTTTTTGTATATACTTTGCATGATTAAAGGGTTCTTTGAACCATGAATGGGTTCTTCAGATTGATGGAGAACGTGCTGCAGATGGTTCTACGTAGTACCTTTTTGAAAAACATTCTATATATCACCAAAAAGGGTTCTTCTATGGTCATAAGCTTGACATCGTCACAATAGAAGAACCCTTTTTGGTGCTATATAGAACTCTCTATAGCACATTCTCCATCAATCTGAAGAATCTTTCATGATGCAAACAACTCTTTAATCATGCAAAGGGTTCTTTGAGTGTTCATGGTTTTATACAGAACCATTTTTCTTACTAAAGAACCCTTAAAGAATCATCTTTTTAAAAAGTGTACTATAATATTTTGTTATAATTTTGTATCACATATACATCATCAATTTGATCATTTCTTACAAATTAGCTTGGATTTTTTTTTCTAAGTAGCTTAACTAGATTTCTCATTGCTGTAGTTCAACTTCTTCCAGTATGAAGTAGTTGGTGGCTTGCAAAGCTATGTTTTCAAAGTAGCTTCCGCAGCACTGAAAGGAGTTTTTTGGAACGTTATAGTGACTTTTTACTGTTTGTATGGTAGTAGTACTCATTTCTAGGTTGCCTAGAATGTATCTGTCATATCTTTCAACAAACATCCTGCTCTCCTAGACCCTCCATGCAAAAAATATTGAATATTTCCTGAACCTCATGCCCCTATGCAGTTGATCAGGCCATGCTTGGTGTCTGAAGTTTGCTTCTTTAGTGTTGCACTTGGCTAATTCGGCTAATATGTTATAGAAAAGCAGGTAACGGTACTATCAACCATGCTAAAGCAACAGTCACCATCTACGTTTATAGGTAACTGTTAATAATACAGTGTCAGAAACTACATGATCAAGCCTATTAGCGATTACTGAACATCCACACGGTTTAAAGCAAATGTGTGATGACGGCATGCAGTTAGCACCATGCTAATTGGTATGATATGAGATTCCATTACTTGAAAGCTACATTAGCCTCGTAGCTCCAGTGGTAAAACCGACTGATCGATTAGGTTCAGGATTAAGAGGAGAACTGTGTGAATTCATCGCTGAGCCGGTGCTTTAGTGGCCATCTACTTGGCCCGAGTGATCTTCTCTCGGACTCTGCGGTGGAGCTCTTGCCTCAGCAGGTCTCTCTCTTTGCGGATGCCTTGCAGAACGGTGCGGTTCTCCTGAGCTCTCCGCACCAGATAGGGCAGCGTGTCGTCCACCGAGCCGTACGGCACGGACTTGTACACCGAGAAACCCTTCTGGGCTGGAGGGGAAGAGGGAATGAGGGACAGAGAGAGAGAGAAAGATCAAAGAGGATGTCAGAATGTGCTGTAAACACTGATCTGCTTGCTGTGCTGTCGGTAGATAAACAGTAGCCATGTTTGAGGCCATGTTGACCTATGGCCTATAACAATGTGACCTTTCATACAAACGCTAAATAAACATGCACATAATCTGAAATGAGTAATGCATTCTAAGTGAAGATATTTTGGGAAAAAACACACAAATGCATTGTTTTGTAGCTGCTGTTGTGAAACTGCACAAGCTTTACAGAATCAGTTTCAACCTAAAAATAGTGAAATTATACTGCTGCTGTCGGAACAAAACCTCGTATCTCCATTTTTGTCGTTTTTCAGTTTTTGACATATTTTGAAAATACCTGTTGCCCTTTACATTGTCTGTAAATTTCAGGATGAATGGACCGAAAGAAATGAATCAAAATGACTTGGAAAAAAGTCTGGTTCCATTGACATACATTAAAAGTAAAGTATGTTTTTTCCTTCTCCTGTTAAGTTACCATTTTGGAGATATGAGGTTTTGTTCCGACGGCAGTGATATAAGACATAAACATACATTTGAATTATTTACATCACAGTGTTACAATGTTTGTTTAGAGTTGCTACAAAACATCCCAGATAGCAAAGTAGTGCTGATTGAACGCTGAACAGTGTGTGCACTTTTAATCAACATCTAAAATCAACATTGATTCAGCACTTCTGCGTTGGTGAATCACCGTTGTTTCAACGTTTCTTTGCTATCTGGGCTCGAGTTTCCAGTTTAAATGCTGTGGTACTGAGTGGAACTTGTAGCTAATCAAAACTGAGCAGCCCGAAAGCAACAGGTTTCACTACAATGCTAACAATGCTTAGGTCCCATATGCCAAACACAAGGCGAGGTCCAGGTCAGGACCGTAGCTTAATCTTATCTGGCCTGTGAAATTAGTATTAGCCTGTTTCACAATGCGCTGCACTACAATCCCCAGCGTGCACTGCAGCACAGTGTGCCTAATGTAATGTAGCCTATTGTAATGTTCATAATGTTGTGTATTTAAATGGTTCTTTGCGTGGTGAAATGGTTCTTCAGGTTGATGGAGAATGTGTTTTACATGTGTCTATATAGAACCTTTTTGGAAAGGGTTCTAAATAGCACCATAAAGGGTTCTTCTATTGTTACCATGTCAAGCTTGATACAGTAGAAGAAGACTTTTCAAAAAGGTTCTATATAGAACCATGTACAACACATTCTCCACAAATCTGAAGAACTCTCTCACAATGCAAAGAACTCTTTAATCATGGAAAGGGTTCTTTAAGCATTCATGGATCTATATGGAACCTTTTTGAAAAGGGTTCTATATAGCACTAAAAAGGGTTCTTCTATTGTTTCAAGCTTGACATCGTTACAATAGCAGAACCCTTTTTGGTGCAATTTAGAACACTTTCCAAAAAGGTTCTATATAGAACTATGTACTATACATTCTCCATCAATCTGAAGAACCATTTCATGATGCAAAGGGTTGTTTGAGTGTTCATGGTTCTACATAGAACCGTTTTCTTTACTAAAGAACCCTTATAGAACCTTCTTTTTTAAGAGTGTGGACATGAAGAAAGTGAAGCAGAAAAAAGGTAAGTGAAGTATTTTACCAAGAGTGAGCGACACATGGTCACACATCCCCAGCAGCTGACCGAAACACACCGAACCCCCATTCCGGTCAATCCCCAGCTCATCCATTCTGGAATAGAGATGAATTATATTCTTTAAAGACGGCGTTCTGTACGCAGATTAAGCCCTATAAACCTGGAGCTGTATTACAGAAACTTCTGAAGTCTGAAATCTGTTTAGTCTCCATGACGACTTCAGTACAGACTGAATTTGAGACAGTAGCTATTCCAGAATAACAGTTCCTAACTTCATGGTCTCATCATGAACTCCAGATAAGAAAACAGCATCACACAAACATCCCAACTGGACTAAACCTCCTAAATCCTGTCCTAACTTTAGGATGAACTCCCAACAGGGTCCTCACTTCTGTTTAAGGTCCGTTTCTATGGTTTTTAGGCAGCTGAGTCAGCAGCATAGTTCACTACCAGCATAATGAGCTCCATTTATTCCTACTGTAAAACGCTGCTTTCACTGTGAGATGATTTTCTTTTCTAACTCTGCGTTTTAAAGATCTCAGACGCTGCAGACTCGATCTCCACCGCCCTCTGATCCCCTTCGTGTGTTAATGTTGATGATGAAATATTACAGTGACGGTGGTGAATAATGAGGAGACAGAGCTGAACGTGTGCCTGTTTATTAGGAGGAGTAACGTTAGCGCGCTCGGCTAAAGCGTTTGGGAAATGGAGACTGAAACTGGAGAGCGGTGACGCTCTGATAAACAGCAGGGGGCGCTGACAGAATGTTATTAACTTTCAGCTTACCGCGCTTTTATTTGTTTGACTTTTTTGTACATTAGTAACGGTAGCTAACGTTAGCTGCCTGGCTGACTAGCTTGATTACTTTGATTACGTGTTTATGTTTCAGCTGTGCGTGTATGGTCGGTTCCCAGGTAACAGACATGACAGTTGATTGATGACTTCAGTTGAGTAAGTTAAGTCTTACATTGAGCTAAGATGCTGTAAGCTGAGATTCCTAAACCAAGGTAAGTTTTGTTTCTGTAATATGAATTTGTGAAAAATCTTATCTTGACCTGTCAGATCTTAAGTTAAGACAAAAACAGGAAGTTTCTGTAATGCAGCCCCTGGAGAACACCTTTCACTATCAGCAGGTGTGTATCTGCTCTGTCTTGTGTAATTGCAGTCTGAGTATTTACTGTTTTGTGCTACATCGTGTTGTCAGTTTGTGTGCTCACTTGTTTACTTCTAGTAAAGGGACAGTTTGGTGAAAAATCAAACTTTTATGACTTTCCCCTTGACCTAAATATACTCCAGCTGAAGTTTGCTTTCTTAGTTTTGCACTGGAGCTGCGAGGCTAACATAGCGTACAAGTAAGAGGAGCTAATACTTCACCAATTAGCATAGCGCTAACAGGATGCCTATTCATCACATATTGCCAAGTTGTTCAGTAATCTCAAAGAATCTTGCTTACGTGGTTTGTGACACTGTATGATGAACTGTTGTCTACAAGGATACAGCAAAGCTAAAAACAGTAGTTTTAGTGCTTCGAAGCCTTAATTTTGGTCTTTATCATGTATGCAAACTGTCTTATCTTCTATGTTGCACCAAGACGCTGGAGAACCACTATTTTGCTCCACTGCATTGGTTCTCCAAAGAAGTTTTTTTTTTAAATGAAAGGTTCTATAAGAAATCAAAAGTGCTTCTCCTGCAGCTTTCGCTCCTAAGAGCGCTTTTCAGCTACTTGATTTCTAAGAGTGTACATTCGGCGCCCGTACCGAGCCACTGCTCTTCTAACAGACTCCTCGTTGTGCGTCGCTACTATGATCTTGTAGCGGCCAGGGTGCTGGGAGATGAGGTTCAGCATGACGTCCAGAGAGCCGTTGTAGCTGCAGGCAAAAGTTGCCAAAATATGAGGACAAAAATATCATGCAAATCATTTCTGGATCGTTCAAAAAGCTGATCTGATCACCAATCATTTGTGCACTCCCAGGTCTCATGAATGGGGTCTGTTCGTCTTTCCTTGTCAGCGAGTTTCCTCTCCTTGTCCATGTACGCTCCTCTAACGAGTTTAACCCCAAGACAGAACGACTGGTCCTTAGAAAGACGGATGGCTTCCAGCAACAGATCCCTTGACTCCTGAAGAGAGAAGGTAAAGTGGGTCTGATTTGAAAGCACTGATTTGTGCTGCATTAGCCTACATGGTTTGGCACCTTGATATATTTCAGATCTCGTGTCCCTGTTCTACTCAGGCCACTTAGATCCTGTAATACATTACCTTTGAATAGTGAATCGTCTTAGTTGTGATCTAGGCCGGTTCACAGTGTTTCTGAGATGTCTGATGGAACTCAACATACATACCACTGATAGAACTTCGACATACATATCACTGCTGCTGTGCAAAAACCTTCTATTTCCATCTCTTTTTTTTTTACTTTTTTGCAAAATTTAAAAATTATCCATTACCAGTTACCAGCTACCCTCAAAAATGTCATGATGAACAAGCAATGATAACTACATTTACAGCACTGTGAACTATATTTAAAATCATAATCTACCACAACATTATGTGTTGTAGGCTGAACAGTGGCTCAATCCCATTTCACCCCTCGCCCCCACCACTCAGCCCTACCCCTCCGTTTTGCGCGTTCACATCTAGAGGTAGGGTGTCCCGATTGTTGTTGAGATAGAGGGGTAGGGTGAAGCGTTAGACGTTTTCAGAGACTCCAAACAGAGTGTTATGAGAAACAAAGAAAAAATGGCCACATGGAGCACAAGCGACCAAAGAAACCCACAAATGTGAGAATTTTCTCTGTTAAAAAATTACGATAACAAATGTATTAGTTTTTGTTGTATTATGGTCCTTTTCTTCATGACAAGCATAAAAAAATCACTAAGATGCTGATGTCTCGGTAGCTAGCTAGCTAAAACTCCCGTTCCACCTTAAATGGTGCAGCAGTTACATTCTCAGCCATCAGAACTGCTGTACCATTTAAGGTGGAACAGGAAAATTCGAACAAGAATCTGGTGAATATCTGACTTCAGCTTCATATCACTGAAGAATTAGGGGTGGGTGATAATAAATAATTGCCCCCCTCTTTGAAGATCATATGATGCCCTAAATGTAACTAAAGCCCAGCAGTGAGGAGCTGAACTTTACCCTCCTCTGCTGTCACTGCAGACTGGCAGGGTCTCCTACAGAGCAGCGCTGGTAGCTGTTAATGAAGTGATGCTCTTTTTATTTGAGGGCCCCATTTCAGAGGGAAGATTTCAACCATTAACGCTTGCAAGGTGACACTCAAAAACAAGCGGTAGGGGCCTTTGTCATTATGATAACCAGGCTTTTTGCCTGACATCAGTAGTAAGTACTTTTATTTGTCCGCTGTCTACACATTTTAAACCTGTTGTAAAACTGCACAGCCTCAAATCACATTTCTCTGCTGTCAGACGAACCAGGACACTGTTGTCTGTCTGCATGTGACACTCTGTGTTGAGCTGCTAGCGAGCAACGATGAGTGAAAGGGGAGTTCTGTGATAAACAGTTCACACCTCTCCACAGAGACGGCCATGCCGAGATAAAACAGCCAACTGTAGCTTTCTTCATATCAAACTCTTACAAATGTTGACTTGCTCGCTCACCTACATGAGCCTGGCAGCACATCACACACCCTTCCATCAAAACATATTCCATAGAATATTCCATGTTACTGAAGACAAAAATGCATAGTACGTCTGAGAGATCCCCAAAATAGGAATCATGGCTACTGTGGAAAAGCGATAATTGGGCTATATTCACATTACCAGGCTGAAGTGGCACAAATCCGATTTTTTGCCCTAATGCGACTCAGATCTGATGTTTTCAGGGCTGTGTGGACACAAATCTGATCTTTTTAAATCCAACCTAAGTCACTTTCATATGTGGTCCTAGATCAGATACGTATCCGATTCATGGCCATGCGACCTTAATAGCTACGTTCAAATTACAAGCGTCATTGCTGAAATCCAATTTTTTGCTCAAATCCGATCTCTCTGACAGGGTGGTTTACACTCGTTTAGGTAAGTGATTCAAATCTGTCATGAATGTGAACAAACCAGCGTCCTGAAATGACCCTCATGAGCTCATCCTACTCAGTAACGTCACGTGAATGAATCACGTTCATCATCAGCACAAACTAACGAGCAGAACGAGCTTCGCTGTGAAGATAATTAACTCTGATCGGCTCTCAGCTTCATTATTAGAGCGAGACGAAGGAGAAAAAGGTGAGATGAGCTGCTTTTCCACCATTTACAGGCTTTAACTTCTGTTCAGCGCTGCTGCCATGGTAACGCTGAATGATGCTGCAGTGGAAAAAAAGCACATGAATTCCGATCTGAGCGTCACATTAAGATTGCATGGCCATCAATCAGATCTAGGACCACATATGAAAGTGGCTCAGGTCGGATCAGATTTTTTTTTCAGCGTTACCATGGCAGCAGCACCAAACAGAAGTTAAAGCCTGTAAACGGTGGAAAAGCAGCTCATCTCTCCTTTTTCTCCTTCGTCTCGCTCTAATAATGAAGCTGAGAGCTGATCAGAGTTAATTATCTTCTCAGCGAAGCTCGTTCTGCTCATTAGTTTGTGCTGATGATGCACATGAATCATTCACGTGACGTTACTGAGTAGGATGAGCTCATGAGGGTCATTTCAGGACGCCGGTTCGTAATCAGATACCTAAACGAGTGTGAACCATCCTGTCAGAGAGATCGGATTTGAGCAAAAAATCAGATTTGAGCAATGAGGCTTGTTATGTGAACCTAGCTTTAGGAAAGGAGAGAAGAATGAGATGCTACTTCCATGTGAAGCACTTTTGGAATGGAAGTGGGAAGCAGTGCGGACTGGACACACGGTCACTCGTCCTCCACTTTAGATCCCATCTGAAGACGGATCTGAAAGTAATTTGAACTATTACGTCTTGCGTCGTGCCCTATTTTTGTGTTTTGTTTTCCTTTTGGTTGATTAGGTTTCATTAAATCTTTTTTTTTTTATTTTGTCTGCCGCACTTTGGTCAACATCCGTTAATTTTTTCAATGCGCTTTATTAATAAATGCTGACTTCTGCTTGTGAATAAACAGAACTTTCTAAAAGCATCAAACTAACCACCCACCTTCAGGTAGCACTGATAGGTGTTCCAGATCCAGGCATCGTCTTGATTGAACTTCTTCATCATGGCCATGGTGATGACAGAGAGCGCGGGGTTCATGTATGTGTATTCAGCGTCCACTAGAATTCTAACCTTGTTTATACTGGCCTGTTGACCAAAAATAAAGAAATGTGAGTATTTTTGAGTGAATAAATCTACATCATTTCCTGCCTTACCTCAAATGTAGTCAAACAGCCAAGACATGTTTGGGTTCTTCACTTTGCCTCTTTAGTTTTAGCCCAGGAGCTACGAGGCTAATGTAGCTAACAAGTAATGGAAGCTTATGTACAACAATTAGCATTGTGCTAACTGCATGTCTTCACACAATTCCCACAAGTTCCTTCATACAAGTCTCTGGGTTGCTCAGTGTCTCTAATAGACTTGATTGTGTGGTTTCTGACACTGTATGACTCACTGTTATCTATAAACATGGACTATGGACAAAATGCAAGTTTCAAGATGGCTAGTATTAGCTAGAACACAGAGGGAGTGTGTTATCGCGAAATAACATCACGGCTGTGATTTGGTCGCCGTAGATCATCACAGCCGTGATGTTATTGGCGATAACACACTCCTCGAGTGTTCTATTGCTTTTATACAACAGTTAAATAAATACAGTAATAAATTAATAAACTGGGCCGTGAACGCGGCGTTTAATATGTTTTAATGTTCGCAGTTCCTTCACCAAATTATAGTTCCTTAACGAGCAGCTTGTTGCTACGTCAGAGTAACGAGCTCCGCCCACTCGCTGCACAGCCGGCAGTTCGTTCTCCAGCTCCTCACACTAAATTCCCAAACTGTCGTCACCACTGAGCAGCTTTTCAGTCGGCAGCTGTGACAGAAGAACAGCTAAACAACCTGGAATCAGCCAGAAATGAACCCAACACCATTCGCCAAACTAAATGGGCTGTAAGATGCTTTACAGACTGGCTGGAACAAAACAACATTAATACTGATCTGGCAGAAAACTGACAAAACTGAGCTGAACTTGATATTGTGTCAGTTTATGGCTCAGTCTGATTTGGTCAGACTCTGAAGATCAGACTACACGTTTGGCGAATGCTGTTGGGTTCATTTCTGGCTGATTCCAGGTTGTTTAGCTGTTCTTCTGTCACAGCTGCCGACTGAAAAGCTGCTCAGTGGTGATGACAGTTTGGGAATTTAGTGTCGTCTCATCTTCAGAGTCTGACCAAATCGGCTGTCGGTCAAATGTGATCTTAAAAGTGTCCGTTTTCTGTTTGTGGCAAAGTAAGAACTAAAAACGTTCAAAACGTCCTACAGCTGTCAAAGTCGTTGCTTAGCAAAGGCATCTCAGCCGAATGATACAGTGTTTGTGAAAAACCCGTGATGTTATGGTAAAATAACAGCACAGTTAGAACACTGCTCAACCAATCAGCTCGCATGGCCGAAACTCACTGTTGTATGATTATAGATAGCAGTGTGTAATACAGTGTTAGAAACCACATAATGAAGTCTATTAGAGACACTGAACATCTCCACACGGTTTGAAGTGAGTGTGTGTTGGTTTAAGTGTGCAGTTAGCTAAATGCTATGATCTTAGCTTCCGTTACATTAGCCTCCTAGCTCCGTTTGAGTTAAGGGGAAATTGTGTAAATTGGATTTTTCATCAAAATGTTTCTTTAAGACTTTAACAGTTTAAATGTATTAAAGTTTTGTACCTCTCCTATTTGGTTCAGTCTGCGGAGACCGTACAGAAAGTGTGTGTTTTCACTGTCACTGAGCCCAGGAAACACCACAGCCTGTTGGAGTGAAAGGACTCACAGTCATGCAACATCATTCTGTTTCTTGATCTCAAGAATTTCTTGGTGTAAAGCAAACAAATTCCAACGTTTACCTCACTGTTCATAGCTCTAATCAGGAGGTCCAGGTCATACTGTTGTTCCTTCATCAGGCAGGTCAGTTTCACCTAAACACCACAACACAACACATAGTTACATCTGTAATGCCTCATGTGGTAAAACACACTACATGTCCAAAAGTATCCAGACAGTCCATCTAATAAGTGAATTCAGCTCCTTTATAGTCCCACGTTGCTGACATTCAACTGCACATATACAGTTTGTATAATCTCCATAGAAAAGCACTGACCAACAGAATGAGACACTCTGAACCACACGAGCCTAAGGCCACTGTGCCCAATGCAAGAGTGTTCCTATGTTCCCAGCGTCCTATGTTCCTATAGGGTTCTACATTCCCAGCATCCTATGTTCCTGTGGATCTATGTTTCTAGGGTTCTATGTTCCCCACATCTTATGTTTCTAGGTTTCTATGTATGTTCCCCACATCCTATGTTCCTAGGGTTCTATGTTACTAGTATGCTATGTTTCTATAGGGTTCTACATTCCCAGCATCCTATGTTCCTAGGGTTCTATATTCCTAGTATTCTATGTTCCTACAGGGTTCCACATTCCCAGCATCCTATGTTCCTAGGGTTCCATGATCCCAGTGCCCTATGTTTCTAGCGTTCTATGTTCCCTGTGTCATATGTTCCTAGGGTTCTATGTTCCCAGCATCCTATGTTTGTAGAGTTCTATGTTCCTATAGGGTTCTATGTTCCTAGCATTCTATGTTCCTAGGGTTCTATGTTTTCAGCATCCTATGTTCCTAGGGTTCTATGTTCTCAGCATCCTATGTTCCTAGGGTTCTACGTTCCCAGCATCATATGTTCCAAGGGTTCCATGATCCAAGTGTCCTATGTTTGTAGATTCTATGTTCCTAGTGTCCTATGTTCCTAGGGCTCTAAGTTCCCAGCATTCTATGTTCCGAGGGTTCTGTTTCCAGCATCCTATGTTTCTAGTCTTCTATGTTCCAAGCATCCTATGTTGCTAGAGTTCTGCATTTCCAGGGGTGTGTGTTGCCAAGGTTCTATACTCTCAGGGCCCTATGTTCCCAGGGTTCCATATTCCGACGGTCATATGTTCCCAGGGGTCCATATTCCCACGGTCCTATGTTCCCAGGGTTCCATATTCCCACGGGTCATATGTTCCCAGGGTTCCATATTCCCAGGACCATATGTTCCCAGGGTTATGCATGCACAGAGTCTTATGTTCCCAGGGTTCCATATTCCCAGGGCCATATGTTCCCAGGGTTATGCATGCACAGAGTCTTATGTTCCCAGGGTTCCATATGTTCCCAGGGTTATGCATGCACAGAGTCTTATGTTCCCAGGGTTCCATATGTTCCCAGGGTTATGCATGCACAGAGTCTTATGTTCCCAGGGTTATGCATGCACAGAGTCTTATGTTCCCAGGGTTCCATAGGTTCCCAGGGTTATGCATGCACAGAGTCTTATGTTCCCAGGGTTCTCCACTATGTTCCCAGGGTTATGCATGCACAGTCTTATGTTCTCAGGGTTCCATATGTTCCCAGGGTTATACATGCACAGAGTCTTATGTTCCCAGGGTTCCATATTGCTATTTAAACATTTAATGCTATGAAGCGACTCTAAACTAAACTCTACCTAAACTCAGTATTTTGAATGGGATTTTTGCCAGTGGCCTGTAAAGCTGGTCTGACCTGGTAAGAGCTGCTGTGAAAGGATGCAGCTGTGGGCGGAGCCCAGCTCAGTCATTCCTAAAGCATGGGGATGATCTTTTAGTGGCGTTTTGTTCTAACCTTGCTAACACATATTTGGTTTTGTCAGTCACCCACTTACACAAAGCTCCGGGCTGACCAGTGCCGTGATCTTCAGTTGCATCATGGGATCTTTGCTCCATGAGTTGCAGTGAGACATCCGCACACATTCCAACATGGCTGCCAAGTTGTGATCGTACCTCTGCTCCCTGTTATAACAGATGGAGTGCCTCTATAAGAAACCCAGATATTAATAACAGTTTTTCATTTTCAAAATGTTTTTAAACGCACATACTGAAACTCTTTTGGCATGAGAGGGATTTAAAGGGGAATTCCACCCATTTTTCTAAATTTCTGCATTAAATGGTCAAGATGTAAACAGAGTCATTCAGAGTGGTTTGGTGTGAAACGCTCAGTTCTAGAGAAACTTACCGAGTCAGAACTGTTTACAGTGGTGGTGATAGGAACCAGACGTCCACCTCTAAAAGCTCCCTCACAGAAAGTTACTACAGGAAATGGTTATGAATTCACTGCCTGATATCTGAGACACTGTTTTATGATTGTTTTAAGATGATTTTGGCCTTAAAATCCATTCATGGTGGAGGGATACATGCAGGACGCTGTGAGGTAAAGAAGTCCCCAAAGAAAATTCATTATTTGAGATGTATTATTTGAGTAAATAAAATGTCTATTTTTGTGTTGTAGTCATGGCGACCCCTGGTTCCTATCACCACCACTGTGAACAATTCTGACTCAATAAGTTTATCTAGAACAGAGCGTTTCACACCAAACCACTCTGAACGGCTCTGTTTACATCTCAACCACTTAATTATGCAGAAATTTTGAAAAATCAGTGGAATTTCCCTTTAAACACCCAAAAGACAACAAGGGGATAAAATGATATCGCAAGCTTGGGGCATTTGTCACCTTGAGTTTTGCTGATTCTATAAAGTGAATGTTCTGGACAGCTTTTTATGTAATAAGTAAATAAGTTATTTATTTGTTCAAAGCTTTGTGTCCTCAGATGTTTAATAAGCAGTGCAGGTTAATCTATAACGCGTCCTACCCAGTGCTCTCTCCCAGGTCCTCCTCGATGGGCACGGCCAGCATGGGCCGCAGACCCAGAGAGCTCATCTTCTCCATGGACTCTGAAATCTCCTTCTCCGTTTCCCCAGCAACAAACTGGGCATACACAACCGGGCGAAGGACCTTAGCAAAAGCTTGTTTGCCCAGGATGGTCCGTGTAAACGCCATGACCTGAGAGAGAGAAGGAAGAGCGAGAGAGGTATGCCTGCTCAGACCAACACATGCACTGTAGAAGATGCAATACAGTATCTCTGGTTTGGCCTATAGGAAATACTGACAGGGACATGCCACCCAAAATTTGATATGACCAAATTGTCACTTTTTATCACTGCTCAAGTGACAGGAAGGTGTGTAATAGATGTTCATGTCACTAAGTTTTTGAGTGACAAAGACAAAGTCACTTGTTAGCTACATTAACCTCGTAGCTCCAGAAGCCAACGTTTCTCCGAACTATTCCTTTAAAGGGCTCATAGTCTATTTTTCTTGTCTTTTATTTTTTCTCCGAGCTCCATTTGTAATGCTTGTATGGTTTTATTTATCAAGTCATCATTTACTTTTACATTACTATTTTCCAACGTCTTTATTTCTTAGATTTAAACAGACTGTTTTTGTTACTGCACCTTTAAGACTAAAATTACAACCCCATTTCCAAAAAAGTTGGGACGCTGTGCAGAATGTAAATAAAATTAGAATGCGATGATATGCAAATCATGTAAACCATATTTTTTAAAGAAAAATACTACAAAGACAACAAATCAAATGTTGAAACTGAGAAATGTTATTGTTTTTTTTAAAAATATATGCCCATTTTGAATTTGATGCCAACAACAAAAAGCTGGTATGGGGGCCTGTTTACCACTGTGTTTCATCACCTCTTCTTTAACAACACTCTGTAAGCGTTTGGGAACTGAGGAGACACTGCTGTAGTTTTGAAAGTGAAATGTTTTCCTGTTCTTGTTTGATACAGGATTTCAGCTGGTCAACAGTTCAGGGTCTCCTTTGTTGTATTTTTCATTTCATAATGCGGCAAATGTTATCAGTAGTGACAGGTCTGGGCTGCAGGCAGGTCAGTTTAGCACCTGGACTCTTTAAATACAGAGCAATGCTGCTGTAATACATGCAGAATGTGGTTTAATGTTGTCTTGCTGAAATAATCAAGGCCTTCCCTGAAGAAGACGTCGTCTGGATGGCAGCATATGTTGCCAAAACATGTATATATTGGTCAGCATTAATGGTGCCTTCACAGATGTGCACGTCACCCATGCCATGTGCACTAATGCCCCCTATACCATCATGAACACTGGCTTTTGAACTGTGCACTGATAACAAGCTGAGTGGTCTTTAGCCTGAAGGACACAGTGTCCATGATTTCCAAAAAGAATTTCAAATGTTGATTCGTCGGACCACAGGACACTTTTCCACTTCCCCTCAGTCCATTTAAATGAGCTCAGACCCAGAGAAGGAGGCAGCATTTCTGGATCCTGTTTATGTACAGTTTCTTCTTTGAGTTTCAGAGTTTTAACTTGCATTTGTGGATGCAGTGATGAACTGTGTTCACAGACAGTGGTTTTCAGAAGTGTTTCTGAGCCCATGCAGTGATTTCCACTACAGAATCATATCTGTTTTTAATGCAGTGCTGTGAGAGCCCAAAGATCACAGCCAGCAAACACTAGTTGTGGCCTTGTTCCTTACACACAGAGATTTCTCCAGATTCTCTGAATCTTTTAATGTTATTCTGTACCGTAGATGATGAAAAGCAAAAGTTCTTTGCTATTTTGCGTTGAGAAACGTTATTCTTGAATTGTTGCACTATTTGATGGTGCAGTCTTTCACAGAGTGGTGAACCCCTCCTCATCTTTACTTCTGAAAGACTCCGCCTCTCTGAGATGCTCTTTTATACCCAATCATGTTACTGACCTGTTGCCAATCAACCACCAGGTGCTTTTTTTAGCATTACACAACTTTACCAGCCTTTTGTTGCCCACGTCCCAACTTTTTTGGAACGTGTGGTTGGCGTCAAATTCAAAGTGGACAATCTCAGTTTCAACATTTGATGTATTTGCTCATCATTGCATTTTGTTTTTATTTACATTTTTCACAGCATTCCAACTTTTTTGGAAATGGGGTTGTAAATAAAATGTCTATATTTGTGTTGTAGTCATGGTGACCCCTGGTTCCTATCACCACCACTGTAAAGACATCTGAACCATTTCACACCAAACCACTCTGAATCACTGTGTTTATATCTGAGTGGATGAATTCTGCAGAAATTTTGAAAAATCAAATACCCCTTTAAATAAAACTGAACTGGACTGACCTTTAGAGAAGCTCACCTTGCCACAGTTGTTGACCAGCGCAGGGAAAGAGCAGAGTCTGAAAACCCCCAGCGCTCGCATGAGCTCCCACCAGCTCTTCGCCCGGAACGCCCGTGGGTCCTCGAAGGACAGGGGAGTCGGTGCAACAGGGTCCCTGATGTCGCGACCCTTTAGGGGTGCAAGCCCTGCATGCTGTGATGCCAGCATCCTAGAGGTCACGCCCATAATTCGCAGGGAGAGGAAGTGATGCGGTGCAGGGGGCCGGAGAACAGAAGACATCCTTGGTTTGAATGTGGAGCCTCTGTGTATGAGCCTAATAGAAGGTCACACCGTAATAGCAGATGTTCTCACTTTATCAGTATCTTCTGGTGGAGCATCAGAGTAGATACGTCAGTGAAGCCACTGTGAGTGAATTATGGAGACTCACTGTCTCTGTCTGCAGTGTGGTATAGACTCAGACACAAAATGTACAACACAACAAAAGATACTGGAGCAAACATCTTTCAATAAGCACTCTTACCTGTTCAAGCTTCAGCAGACACAACCAAGACTGGCAGCGATTACGGAGTGGACGCTTCGACCTGACTGAACTCACAGTGCAGGTCAATATACGATGAAAGAAGACCGGAGTGGGAGGGATGGCTCGTCCGTGACTCTGGGATTGGGGTTTGTGTTGGGTTTTGTGGTTAATTACTGACAAACGGCCTGAACTTTGGGCCATTCAGAGGTCAACACCTCTCGTGTCCTCTCTGAAACTTCATCACTTTTTAGCAAAATGTATCTTAACCCCTTAAATGGCCAGCGTCCCCCCAGCAGGCCCAAGTCTTACTACACACTTCTATAACCTAATAAGAGCTCAATTAGTTCAAGTCCATGTAGTCACTGAAGCCTTAGTTTGTAATAAGCCTGGGATTTTAAAGGGTTAAAGCAGAACACGACTGAAAACATTGAATGGTGCTTGACCAGAGGGGTGTAGAGTAAAGCCACACTAATGCAAAAGTACTTTTCCAAAAACAAACTTGGGTAAGAGAACAAAAGTAGCAACTTAAAAATTACTTAAAAGGGAATTTCATGTATTCTTTGAAAGTTCTGCACAATTCAGTGAGTAATCAGAGTGATTCAGAGTGGTTTGGTGTGAAACGGTTCAGATGTCTTTACAGTGGTGGTGATAGGAACCAGGGGTCACCATGACTACAACACAAATATAGACATTTTATTTACTATCCAGAACCACCAGTGAACCTACACGAGTCTTCTGAGTTTATATGGAATGTTGATGATGGAAAATAGTGGAAAATCTGAAATAATAAGTTTTTAAGGGGACTATTTTGCCTCACAGCGCCCTGCATGTGAAAAAATGTTTAAAATGTTATTGTAAAACTATCATAAAACAGTGTCTCAGACATCAGGCAGTGAATTCATAACCATTTCATGTAGTAACTTTCTGTGAGGGAGCTTTTAGAGGTGGACGTCTGGTTCCTATCACCACCACTGTGAACAGTTCTGACTCAGTAAGTTTATCTAGAACTGAGCGTTTCACACCAAACCACTCTGAACGACTCTGTATACATCTTAATAATGTTTAATAAAGTGCTAAAGCTCCAGAGTGAGAGGAGTGAGCAACAGTGCAGCAGAGCAGGAGCTGAACCAACACAGCAGAATTAAATTGAACCCTAAAAAAAGAATTAGGAACTAAATGTTAATGGCTAAAACAGAACCAAGAAACAGTGATTCCTTTCTTTTAATGCAGTAATGCAATCTGGTTGGAACAACTGGGAGGAAAAAACAACACAAAGGTGATTCTCTCCCATTAACCTGGCGCTGCTCATGTCAGACAATGCCAAGAGCACAAGAAATCTGCAGCAGAAAATCTGACCCAGCAGGCCAGTGACGTCTGAAGATAAACAGACTTTGGTCCAACCCTGACCCTGCTGACAAACTAAGGGCCAAAAATTAACTTCACACCACCTGCACGTGGCATCACTGCTTAAAACTGACCTCTTTATAGTGCAGACCAAACTGCTTCCTTTAGAAACAAGATATCGCTGCTGTCAGCACAAAACTTGGTCCGTTTTAGTGTTTAAAATACCTCCATTAAAACAAAATCTCCATTTTAGCGTTTTTCAGTTTTTAACATGATTTTAAAAATGCCTGTTGCTCTTTACATTGTATGTAAATTTCATGGTGAATGGACCAAAGAAAACGGCCCAACATGACGTGGAAAAAAGTCTGGTTCCCTTGACTCACATTAAAAATAAAGTATGTTTTTTCCTTCTCCTGTGAATAGAATTGTACAATATGTTCATAATTAAATCTGAAGGGTCTACAGGTCTAAAAGCTCCGACACATGAACATATTAAATGAAATGGGTGTGAATACGCTGTTCATATTTGGAATTCCGAGTCGAAGATCGATTTCTCTAAGGCCAGAGTGAATGGGCTTCTCCAAAATTCCCCTTTACCGCAACTTGTGGTAAATAAAAATGTTCAGAACCTGATACGTTTTGTCCTGTGTACATTTTTCTCCCATATATCACCGGAACATCCGAATTACGAGGTGGTTAAAGAGTCGTAATACTAATATTGCTACATACAAGCTAACGCTACTGCGCATCAATTTGACGTCATGAGCTACACGCAAGTCAGGCTTGTTGAAATGTCCTAGCTCAGTAACTAAATTCTCTAGGTAGGATATTTTGATAGCTTTAATTACCTTAACAAAAATACAACCAACATTAAAAACTACAAAACTGACAATACTCAGACTTTCTATTTGTTCTTGGTAGCCATGTAGCCTTTAGCATGCTAACGAGCCAGCAGCATGCTAGCAGAAAGTTGTATTAGCAGTCATGTTCAATCTAAAGCCCAGCAAATTGACTGTTATGATTTTGAAACGTGAAGCATTTAAAGTAGTTTAATGCTAAACCTTATAAACAGCTTTGTCTGCAGTGTTGGGAAAGGGCAATGCGTCAGGTCACAATTCTGGTTAAGTTCTGCAGCTGAAGTCCACGCTGGTGTTCTCTCGATCCCTGACCTCTCCAAGGGCTCATCTAACACCCTTCACCAGAGCTAATAAAGCAATGGAAACAGCCCTTAAGGTGGCGCTGGGGATTCCCCTGAGGGGAAATGAAGCCAAATGAATGAGAGCTTGTTAAAACCAGTATTGTAATACACTTTCTAAGCTGCTTGTCCTCCTGGGTTGCAGGGCCTATCCCAGCACTCATTGGGCGGAAGGTAGAAAAACGCTGGTTGCCAGTTCATCACAGGGCTGGCACACACATACCTATAGCTTATTTAGCATCTCCAATTGGCCTCCAATGTCTTTGAATGCAGGAGGAAACCCACACAGACACAGGGAGAACATGCAAACTAGAAGAGGACTCCGGTCACCCGGCTGGGGAACTGAACACCCACACCCTTCTTCTTGCTGTGAGGCAAGTAGCATAGCATTCTTTGCTATGGTGGTAATAGAAACCAAGGGTCATCTACAATGCAAGTATCTGATTCAGTCTGATTCAGAAGTCAGATCAAGGGGTTGTGGAGGGTTAGTGACCACTGCTGGTGATCTACCTTCCTGTGTTCCAAGTCTGGTTCCAAACCTAATCTACCACACCTGCTCCAGCTAATTAACTCCTCCAGAAGTCCTTGACTGGCTGGATCGGATGCATTAGTGTTATATTAGATGCAGGATGGAGCTAAACTCTGCAGGAAAGCAGATCTCTAAAAGGGGTGATGACCACTGGCGTACATCAACAGAAAACTGCTTTAAAAGCTGTAGAGAAGTGTTTCCCAACCTGGTCCTCAGAGCACCCCAGTTGGTGCAAATTCTCCTTTGTCCCCATGTTAGGTTGAAGCAAAAAATGCAGACTGTCTGAGAGGCCTGGGTTGGGAAACACTGGTGTGGAGCAAGTCTGTTTACTTTGTCTTTTGTTATCAAGAACAAACTGGAAAATCTGGCACTTTTGAACTTGGTCCACTACTTCGCAAAATAAATAAATACATAAATAAAACCTGAATGAAGATCATGGCCAGCTTTCCTGAACTTTGACATCACTGACTGACATAAAAGACTTCAGCTTTTGGAAACTCAATCACACGAGAGACAACGTTTCATAAACTGAATAATCTTTATTGTTTCAAGTTAGATATCACACAAAGAACCAACCTGTTCCCCCAAGCCTGCTACACTTCTACTTCAAAACCTGCTCATCCTTTAATTCACACCAAACATTCACTGCAGGAGAGAGTGAATTCAGGGGAAGCAGATCTCCAGAACTGTTGGCAGGTCTGTATGAGAAAAATGCGATACAGCGACAAATCTGCACAATAGATAAATGTGGTAAAACAGGCTGAAGCAGTGCAGATGATGGAACTGCACGGAGGTGGAAAACTCAGGAGGTTGCAGTCTGGTCTTGGAATGAAAGCGGGTCCTGCTGCGAACGGGCTGGCCTTCAGTAGGAGCTCTGGTTCTGGGACCTGTAGCCTCCTCGCTGGTAGCCCTGCTTCTGCTGGTAGCCGCCTTTCTGATCTAAAAAGGAGAAATGAGAGCAAAGAGGACAAAGCAGGATCAGTCCAAGAAAAATCAGGCACTGGAACAACTCAAAAACAAGTACAGCACTGGCAAATGACGCTAGGAGTGTTGGTGCAGCAGCTAAAAAAAAAAAAGAGAATGAAGGCAGGGAGGTGGAACAGAGTGGCTGGAGCAAGGAAGTCAGAGACCTTATTAATAAAGTGAACCTGAATTAAAAACAAGCATACACTTAAACACTGACTGAGTAAAGGTCAGAGTGCATGTGAACAAGCTTTTAACCTCCACCCTTTAGTTAACTGACTATTTATGCTTATAAAGTGCTAATGTAGTCATTTATGAGTGAATAGCCCAAAAAAACCTGACAAAAATCAAACAGTTTGACATAAAAGTCAATGTCACCCCAGTTTTCCCCTTACCCCAGATGGAGGCGATCAGGAAACACGTTTGGAGTCCAAATTTTTAGTTCAGAACAGGAGCCATGAAGCTAATGTTGCTAACAAACACTAGAACTCAGTAGTCACCCAAATAGCGAGTGTGTCACACTCTGTCCTAAAACACATCAACAAGTCTGTGCCACCTTAAACAAAGACCTGAAAGCGGTTTGAGTGGGATGAAAAGTTTTATTGATATTTTTATTGAAACGTTTTGGGCTATTTGGGTGACTATTGAGTTCTAGTGTTAGCGACATTAGCCTTGCTGTTCCATCTCCTATCTAAAGAGGCAAAATTTGGACTCCAAACGTCTCGGCTGTTACACCACGTCTTGTAGGGCTGCACGATAAATCATTATCGCGATATGAGTTTCCGTGATAAACACATTGTTAGAGATAAACACACACTGGAAACCTTAATGTCCCCATAACTCAGCTTTAATGGCAATTTAACTAAAAAAGCTGCAGAAAATGGGGAAACAGGCAGCACACAGGCTGCTCAGGTTCTACTGTTTTTCTGCCATCTGGGCTACTGAAGCTCGCTACCTTATGCCCCCCACAGTCCTTCAAAATAAGAGTCCCAGACCAACTACGAAAACAGTGCTGAACTTATTTGAACAATTCCGATTTCTCTTTACAAATCCCCAAAAAATGTCTTCAATTTCATTTTATCCACCCAGAGACTCATTATTTTAATAATACTTTATCACCCCTCAAATCATCATCGTGATATCTGATATCATTATCGTACAGCCCTTACATCTAGGCTAAGTGGAACATTGTGCAAAACTGATCTCTTGTGAAATCATTAATGTGGATCTTTTAATAAGTGAACATAATTGCAAAGACCATGACCTCTATAGGATGTACCTCGTTGGTAACCTTGCCTCTGTTGGTAACCGCCCCTCTGGTCTGAATCTGCACAATGAGAACAGTTTAGAGGCATGCAGATGTGGATGCGTGAAGACAGATGTATGGGCTGTGCCACATTGTGCTGACACAAGCAATACAGTATGGACATAACTTGGGCATTAAGGTCAAATATGAACATGGGGTTTCTCATGCAGCCTGGGCCGGCTAGTGAAGATGACTAGCTACCTTCCAGCTTGTGCCGCTACATCAGCAATCTCAGTGAGGCAAAAGCCAGCAGCACACTTTAGCAGTGAGCTAAAGTCTTAATGCAAATAGTTGACTATGCAATGTACTAGTATTTATGCATAATTAAATGGATAATTAATTTAATTTAAGCATAATTACGATGTAAACAGTCATTCAGAGTGGTTTGGTGTTTCTAGAGAAACTTAACGAGTCATAATTGTTCACAGTGGTGGTGATAGGAACCAGACGTCCACCTCTAAAAGCCCCCTTACCGAAAGCTATTACGTTACATGGTTCTAAATAAGCTGCCTGATGCCTGAAACAGTAGCTTTAAGAAGAAAACTTTTCAGATTTTCCACTATTTTACCATCAACATTCCATATAAACTCAGAAGACTCGTGTAGGTTCACTGATGGTTCTGGATAGTAAATAAAATGTCTATATTTGTGTTGTAGTCATGGCGACCCCTGGTTCCTATCACCACCACTGTAAAGACATCTGAACCATTTCACACCAAACCCCTCTGAATCTCTCTGTTTACATCTCAAACAGTGAAACATGTAGTGATTTTGAAAAAACTGTGGAACAAAAAAAACAAAAACAACCAGAACAGCTGGCGGTTTGTTGTGTCTAGTTGGCCAGTCATCTCACCATAAACTACAATGCCGAGGACTAATACCACCATGTTTATTGATGCCATAATAATGAAAAAACAAAAACAAACCAGTACATCCAGGAGAATTAATCGTCAGCGTAAGTGTTAAATACATCAGTGCTGCACTGAACACTAACATTAAGCAACATTTTAATGATTAGTTAATGAAGGATATAAGAGGGTTTTACATTTTATTTTAGTAATACAATGTATATGTATATACCGCTACAAATCACTGGATGTACCTGGTGCACACTAAGAGTGCTACAGTTTTAACTGATTAACAATTAAGCAGAAAATGTGATCACGTGACAGCGATCAGTTAAGAACTTCCAGGCTTTCACTTGTTTTCACGATCATGTCTAAAATATAATTTTTGAAAACACTAACCTCTCTGGTAGCCCTGCTTCTGTTGGTAGCCTCCTTTCTGATCTGTTGAAAAGAACAAGAGATACCGATAAATGACTGCTTAGTTAGAAAAACAGAGTAAATAAATTCTATACATTTTATTTATTATTTATATATTTATTATCTTGTCGCTCTCCAAAGAAAACCATGCATCTGCATTTTTGTACATCATTTCAACACACCATAGACCAATAGAAATGCTCCAAATTCATTTGGAATAAAACCTCTTTACATTAACTTAGACTGATTTGTTTTTCCCTAAATTTGATTTTTGATGGCCACCATTAATGCCAAAGTGTGACTGTTTAATATCAATGTAGAAAATTTTGGCAATTCTGACTGAAATTCAGGGACATTTTATACACTAATGGGGACTTTTAGTTAAATATACAGAACATTTTCATCTAATCAGAATAATAACTGCTGTTTTAACCTTTATAGTAAACAAATATAAAATTAAGCACACCACAGTTTCAATTTAAAAAGGCAAGTGGGCATCATGGCACGAAAAACCAAGAAAAAAGAAAAAAGGTCAGTCATGTAGTCCAGAGGCAGTATCCAGCTTTCACTGGGGCGGTTTTGCCTCTTTCCCAGTATTTCTGATGCTGAAACTGTAAGAAGCTCCTCACCTCTGTTGAAGTAGCTCCCGTAGACGCCCTGTTTGAGGTCAAAGACGCGCTCATTGTTCTCCACCAGGCCGCCCAGCTTCTCTGCCAGCTGCAGTGCCATGTTCTGCAGGGAGGTGGGCTCCGTCCTGTGCATCACTACCGTCTGAGTGGGCTGGTCCAGAGAAGCCTGGGAGAAAGGTAACAGTTCTAGACATTCTCTCTAATGCAAATCTAACGAACACAGAAGCCAGGAATTCCGCATTTACCATGAGCTCCTCGTTAATGATCATCTTGCTGATGATGCTGTGAACTGTGGGCAACTCCAGCTGAAACATCTCTGCCAAAGTCTCCATACTGAGGAGAACAAATAGAGAAATCATGGCATTAAAAGCAGGAGTTAAAGTCAGCAGTGCATTAGCGCTTCCACTGAGCAGAGACACCTGTAGGGGTACCTGATAGAGTCGTATACGCTGCTGTAGGTGAACAGGTAGGTGCGCAGAGACTCCTCCTGAATCTTCCTGTAAAAGACACAATATAAGGCAAAACATCAATGAAACAAGGAAAAAAGACAAAACAAACAAACAAAAAAAAAAGACAGCCTCTACTCTTTTGGTAAGGCTTTACACTAGATGTCGAACATTGCTGTGAGGATTTGATTGAGCATTAGTGAAGTCAGGTACTGATGTTGGATGGTCAGTTCTGGATCACTCCAACTCATCCCAAAGGATTGGATTTGGATGGAGCTCCATCACTCCAGAGAACACAGTTCCACTGCTCCACAGCCCAATGCTGGGGGGCTTTATACCCCTCTAGCCCACACTTGGTGTTGGACATGGAGACCTTAGGCTCATATGCATCGTTCATTTCCTCCTTGAATTTTAATTAAGATCAGAAATTTTTAATCAATTAAAACTAATTATAATTTGAATTTGTATTCAACTATATTAAGAATAAAAACATTTGACAGGTCGATTTTCATTCTGGCAGCACAAGGGGTTGAAACAGTGCTGACAGATCTCGCAAGCATTTCTTTTAATTCTACTTTGTATGCTTTACTCATGTTGTCCAGGACCTGACCGTTAACAGCAATGGACATTCTTTAATTGGTGCTTCAAGCCATTTTGAAAGAACAGCTCGAAATACATAAAAGCTGAATAAATGTGCTTTCTTAAAATGTTAAAGTTAACACTACTTAGGTTCCCTCAAATTTGAGGAAAAACAGAAACTGTCAGGTTTGTCAGACGTTCTTTTAGCTTACAGTAGCAGCATTTAGGACTCACATATTAGCAAATACTATGATATATAAAATATAGTGAAATTCAATTTTCAATATGGTCCATCACTAAAACACTCATTGTGTACCTGACGAGCATTTCACGGACACGCTGGGCCTCGGGGAACAGGTCCCACACTTTACTGTTCATTTTCTCGTTGATGATGAACGAATGGCAGGTGCGCCAGTCGCCCATCTTCATGGCCTTGCTGGCGGCCACCACGTGCTCCCTCATGCTCTCAGGGGGGCCTGTAGGAGCAGAGAGAGGAGATTAGAGGTCAGTAACATGGTCTTCATGCTGCTCAAGCTGTGATTTGTGAGAGGAACTTAAAGGTCTCATATGATCACATTTAATTTCATTTAAACTTCAATAAATGCAAATATTTCACTTTAGGCATTTTCAGATGGTTTATCATTATTATAGTTCAAATATTTTGGGATCAAAAACCCTTAAAAATCTTAGTTTTCGCCAGCAAAACAAAATCATGCTGCAATTCCATCCAAATGAGTTCTGACTCTACACTTTTGGTTTATACCACATGTGTGTCTGTAAGCAGAAGAGAAAATATTTATAATGATTTGAATTTGATGAGTTATGGTTGTGCATATGTGCTAATTATGCATTTACATTTACATAAGTAACGAACAAAACACTAAATAATTCTGACTAATGGTTAGGCGGTGTTTCCCTGTGGTACATGGTAATTATTTGACCATATACTGCAGATACAGCAGACAGAGATGAGGCTGAAGAGTGTTGGAGTACTCTTAAACTCCTCTCTCTCTCTTTGCTCACCCAGAAGGGGCTGTCTTTCTCCCACTCGCAGCTGATGATGGAACTGTTTGCTGATCATCCTGCGACGGGCATCAAACTCGTGGGCAGCCATGTAAGGGATTTCCAGCAGCATAGCTGAAACTAGATACACGCACTCCAGCAGCTCCAGGTTGATGTGCATGTGGAATGGAACCTGGCAGAAACACAGATTAATTACACTTCTATCCACTGTAATCTACTGTATTTCTCTAAACCCATCCATTTATCTAAGCTTCCCGATGCAGGCTGAAGTATTTACTGTAAATTCCGACCTCGCTGTGAAATTTTTCCCTGATGAATGGGGTACAGGGGTCTGATAAACTGTCCAGCAACAGACAGACTACAGTCTGTACCTGTACACCTATACAGTCAACCTATAAGGTGGGTGGACTTCAAAAGTGGCCAGTAAGTGGAAGCACAAGGTGGATATTCCTAATAAAGTGGCCACTGAGTGGAAGCCCAAGGTGGTTATTCCTAATAAAGTGGCCAGTGAGTGGAAGCCCAAGGTGGTTATTCCTAATAAAGTGGCCAGTGAGTGGAAGCACAAGGTGGATATTCCTAATAAAGTGGCCAGTAAGTGGAAGCACAAGGTGGATATTCCTAATAAAGTGGCCACTGAGTGGAAGCACAAGGTGGTTATTCCTAATAAAGTGGCCAGTGAGTGGAAGCCCAAGGTGGTTATTCCTAATAAAGTGGCCAGTGAGTGGAAGCACAAGGTGGACGCTGCTAATAAAGTGGCCAGTGAGTGGAAGCACAAGGTGGACGTTTCTAAAAGTGGCCAGTGAGTGGAAGCCCAAGGTGGGTATTCCTAATAAAGTGGCCAGTGAGTGGCAGCACAAGGTAAGCGTTTCTGATAAAGTGGCCTTACCTGCCGCCTCTTCTCGATCTTCTCTTGCTCGGCGTTCCTCTCCTGCATGTTCCTCATGAGCAGGCCCTGACCCAGCAGTTCCTTCGCCCTACCGCTTGACTGGATGTCCAGCAGTGCATTGTGGGCGTCTTTGATCATGCCCTGGCGGAATGCGCAAATGCCCAGCTGCACCATCGTCCTGTTATACAGGATCTGAACAAGGGAGATAAACAGATCCATCAACCAAAGGCCAACATGCGTCATGTTTAAAGCACAGAACTCTCAACGTTGAAGTCAAATCAATGATATTGTCAAAATAATTAAAATAACTGAATAAAGGCCAAGTAAGGATATCTGAGCTAGCTGAGTGTTTTCTCTCTCAATAATGAGTGGGGGCTGAAATATTTATGGTTAATATTTTTGACCACTCGCTGATGCACAGTGAGGTAACCCAAAAAATTAATACAATTAAATAAATAATAATAATAAAAATATATTAAACATTTCTTTTAAAGGACATGCTGCATTGTGTTCAATATGAGCACATTGAATTCAAGCTTAAATAAAAATCTCTACTGTTACTACTCATTGTATCCACTGCATGGGGAGGAGCTTCGGTTGTACTGAGAGGAGTTTTGGTTGCCGAATGTGTTTGAGAGACGGATACATTTCCGCTGCTATAACGTGGCTCAAATGTGTCTCAGTCCACCTCCTGAAGAGGTTTAAGTGATCAGATCTGAATCTGTTTTAAATGTGTCTTGGGTGAATTTATGTGGTTTGGCCTCATTCAGATATAATCCTGACACTCAAGATGCATGAAGTGACCAGGTGTAAATGGGGTCCAAGTTAAAGCTGCTAAATGTCCTGCTGGTTTGTACTGTGAGTGAACAGACAGACAGACAGACAGACTAGATTAGATTCTGGACACAGCCTACTGTGTGTACGCACCTGTACGGGAGGGTCGGCGTGCTGAATGTTGTCCTGCAGGTGGCTCATGAGCATGAGGTCTCGGGCCTGGTACCAGCGGCTGTGCAGGGCGTGGTGGTAGATGTGGCACAGGATGGCGCAGGTGCGGATGCGGTCAGTGCGGTCCTTGGCGTAGATGAACTTACACAGGCGGTCCATGATGATGGCGCTGTCCTCCCCCTCGCTCTCCTCTTGGTCCTGCTCAGACTGTGGGGGGAAAGGAGGGTCATTTCAGTTGTATTGCGCTCAATAAAAGCAGAAAGCCAGTTACTAGAACTGTAGCTCAAAATATAACAGGGTTGCCACAGTTTTTAAAGAGTCAAATTCAATGCTATTTAATGCCTTCTTAACACCAACAAAGCAAAAATAACACCATATGGCAAATATTTACATTTCCTGTAAACCAACAACTTCAAAAAGAATGGCTATATACTTCGCACCGTTCCTGTTCCTGTAATAGTTTCATTTTTTTTTGTCTTGCAAGAGACAAATAAGGCAGGAATGCAATTTGTACATGATTTTAGCTGCATGTTGTAGCAGAAATCACACTACTACAGACACATGGTGACATTTTACGTGTCGCTGTTTTGATTAAAAAGACATTAAAATTACTTCTGAAAACATAGACCACGGTGGAGTGACCGAACCGCAAGTCAGAAGAGGGGGGGGGGAATCTGAACTGGATGAAATAAATGATCCACTAAAATGAACCTGGACATCCCTAAATTTAATACATCAAATAGAAAGCAGAAAAAAAAAAGATAATTTTACAACCTTACACTTTATCTACATTAACACTAAGAATTCGCAAAAACCCTGTATTAGATGTTACACGGCTTCAGTTTTTTAAAATCTGAATTATGTGATGAAAGTCGAAGTGATGTCGACTAATCGGGCATGGTGTGCTGTTTCCAATGAGCCCTGAATTGCATTGCTAGCCTTTAGTGAACCGGAGATACGGACCCTGCAATCTCGCAAATTTGTATCTGACTTAGGCGCACCCTAGACGGCCTTGCAGAGGCTCTCGCCCACAGAGGAGGTCCGGAGAGCCAAAGAAAATTAGAGTGCGGAGATACGGACCCCGAACCTGTTGTCTTCTCCGAGTCGTCCATGTTATTAGCGTCATAATCATGTGATCAAGCTTAAAAACTCATTGCCGAGTCGACTAATGTGTGCCAATGTTACCTTATATGAGCTGAATATCCGAGAATCAGGTCCATGTAAATGTCTAACTAAACTCCTCCCCGTCACCAGGCTCCGCTCACCTTGCTCTCTCCCTGTATGCCCATGCAGCGGCGGTGGGTCTTGTAGTCGAACTTGTAGTAGGTGTGCATGATCCTGCGCAGGTAGACGCGACACACCTCCTCGGTGCTGCCTTTATTCTCCAGGTACTGCAGCAGCCGGTCGATGATGTTGCACACGCGACCTTCGTCCTTCAGGTTATCCACGTACTCTGGAATGGCGAGATCCCGCATTGATGTGAGGTCATGATGCACACTGGGCAACAAAAAGCTGCTAATGTCTGCAGTTTGACCAGCTACAACGTCTTATTTATCAGCATAACTGTAGATTTGTGATCAGACTTGAGTTCGGGAAGGTCGGAAAACTAAAGTTTACTGTTTCTCATTTATTTAAAGCAATATATGTACAGTGAAAACTCCAGCTCTGTTGGTACTGATGCTAAAAAGCAACTGAGTCATTCCCCAATGATTCGAATCGTGTAGAGGTGTTCAGCATCTCTAACAAACTTGATTACACAATTTCTGATGCTGTATGGTACACTTATCTGTAAACATACACTACAGTACATCAGCATAGCAGATGCCATCAAGAAGCCTGAATTTTGTCTGTATTTTTGCATAATCCAGTCCACTAAAGATTACTCAACTTTGCTAAAATGTGTAGCATTCAGCACTAAACTGCCCTCAACCATCTGCTAAGTGTGAGCGAGGCTCACCCTGTGAATGGGGGTCTGTGTTCTGCATGATTTTGGTGAACTCCTCGTCCATCCTCTCCACCAGGGTCAGGATGCAGCCACGGACACGGAAAGGCTGGAACACACAATGCACGATCATCTCAAACAAACAACATACTGCGAATGAATCAAAACAATACATTCTTCTAATAGCCATTCAAGTCTGAACAACAGAACAGAGTTTGTCTGTTTAGTCTAAAGAAGGAAACAAAGACTTCTGCAGCCGTCTAAGCACTGCCACCGCAAAGGATGAGAAGCTCCACTCAGGAGATACTACAGAGCACAGATACAGCACATAGGATGAGTCACAGAAAAAAGTGACCAACATCAAACTCAAGCTCATTTTACACTCTACTTTTAGATTTAATGGAATAAAACTTTAAACGTTATTTATGGAAGATCACGCTCGGCATCAGCTAACTTAACTCCTCACAGACTCAGTGCTTTCCAGCTGAAAGGTACGAGGTGATATAAGTTACAGTAACTTCAGCGGAGACCATTAGTGAATTAGTCCGAATTAATATTAGTAAAGGCTTCAGATTAGCTGCCTTTATTTTTCTTTTTACAGGGGAAAGTCTCTTGAAATTACAAAATTGACAAACGATTGTGCACTTCAATTATTAGAACAACTATAACTATAAAACTGCTTTATTATATTATGATCCTATTCAGATGCTTCACTTTAGATGCTTGTGTTTCGCTGCTGTCAGAACAAGCAAACTTTACAGAAAAGCAAAAATGTTATCTATGAATGGAAATAAACAGATACATTTTTGTAATTTTGGACCATTTCTGTTGGTCCACTCATCATGACATTTTGAGACACTGTAAAGGACAACTGACCTTTTTAAACTGTCAAAGAAGAAAAAAAGACAAATGAAGAAACATAGTTTTGTCCCAACAGCAACGATATATAAAATCCCCCTTTTCTAATCCATACTTTCCTTATAACAATAAACATCACGTATTAATAATAACAGATTGACTGCCTTTCTCTGTGTAAAATTCAGGGGGCCACATCACCTACTCCGCCCGCTCCACCTAAATATATTAATATTTGGCTGACAAATTTTGACTGAAATGCTCAACATTACAGCAACCTATATCAATTTAGTTTGAAGGCTCTCATAAATACAGCTACGACTCGTGACGTGGACAGAGGTGCTGACCTGGTCAGAGACGGCCAGGTTCTCGCTGTCCTCTGCGATGTTCTCGCCAATGAAGATGTTGCTGTTCTCGAACAGGATGTCCAGCAGCTCGTCAATGCAGTCCAAACACTTCTTCCACATTTCCGGCTGAGTGGGTGAACAGAGAACAGAGAGAAAAAGAGGCAGAAAAATATAAATACAGAGGGAAGAGAAACATAAAAGAAAGATAACTGAAGCAGTTAAAAGTACTATAAAATGGTCCAACTTATGAATGTGAATGTAAACACACACACAAAACATTAAAATAATAGTAATAATAATTTAAAAAGTCTCCAACCTTCATGAAGGTGGCCAGATTGGGGTTGTAGTCGTACAGCGAGGCAATGATGTTGAACTTGATCTTCACCAAAATGCCTTGTCCCAGGTTGTTCTCCTCTGAAATTGCTGCTAGAGCGTGGAGGAGCTCGATCTGAGCAGCTCTGAGATAAACAGGCAGAAAGCATTTTAATATCAGTGATATAGCAGCACAGAAAACTGACCAGATCAGGGGTCTCAAAGCATGTTCTGTCTGGACGACAGCTCTGCAAAAATTAATGCTTCCCCTCATCTACCCCTCAATTCAGCTACTAAAGACCTTTCAAACTAGCTGATAAATGCATTTGAAGGGGAGAAACGCTAACCCAGAGCAAGTTCAGGGTACTTCACAGAAAACATGGTTGGAATAGCACAGCGGTCAGCATCTTGCGGCTCTTTAACTGTCCCTGTTGTGGCTCCACAGCAGAATCAGATTTGTAGGTAAAAATAAAATAATCCTCCTTTACAGTAAAATAAAGCTCTGCTGATCGTTCAACACAGTTTAACAATAAATGGTCTTAAACTCTGGAGTTAATGTAGAACTGCTGATTCACCCTTTAACCCTGAAGATCAGCGCAGACTGCTGGTCACCATAGCAACACAGACAACAGTCTCGCCTAGCTAATAGCTACAAAACGGCAAAGAGAGAGATTTAAGATGAACATTGATAATTTACAGACGAATGGACTTATTAGTGTTTATAATCACTCCAGCTGGTTTCCTGATACGTTTAATCTGCGACGAGAAACTGACAAACACTAAAAACTCACAAGGCTTAAGTCAGTTTCTCATTCACCAGCTTCTTGTCCACATTTTCCCGTTCCACCTTAAATGGTGCAGCAGTAACATTCTGGCACCTCAGGCACCATTTAAGGTGGAACGGGAAAATTCAGACAAGAAGCTGGAGAATAAGAAGAGACTTCAGCCTTGTGAAGAATCGAATGTTGAGACGTTTTACAAGAAACTTCTACTTTGAGGAAAAGTTTCCTGTTGGAGATGTGAGAAAGGCGGCTATAGCTGAGCTAAAGCTTAAAGCAGAGCAAAGTAAGTCTGCGTTCTCGTTTATATTGTTAGTCTTCGTTAGTATATTAGCACACACTGAGACATATTTACAGCCAAGATGGTAAAACATTACTACATTAAAAAATGTTGTGGCTCCCAAGATGGTCTGATAAGAGCACTTGCCAAATGCCATTAAGTGTAAAATGTAAACGTTTTATTACTGCAACATTACCTAAAAACCATAGAAACGGACCTTAAACAGAAGTTCGGACCCTGTTGGGGTTCATCCTAAAGTTAGGACAGGATTTAGGAGGTTTAGTCTAGTTAGGATGTTTGTGTGATGCTGTTTTCTTATCTGGAGTTCATGATGAGATTATGAAGTTAGGAACTGTTATTCAGTCCGTACTGAAGTCGTCATGGAGACTAAACAGATCAGACTTCAGAGGTAAGAAGCTTCTCTAATGCGGCCGCAGGAGTTCCAGGCCTACCTGTCTGTTCCTTTCTTTCCTCGAGCCTGCAGGATCTCATTGAGTTTCTTGACCACCACAGGTATGTTGATCTCTGTGCCCTTGGCGAACATCTTGGGCTTCTCCTTCACCAGCGGCACTCCACCCTTCACCTTCTCCCACTCTCCTCCCTCCTGCTCCAGGGCGTCCTCCTCAGCCTCCTCCTCAGCACGCTCCTTCCTCTTGCTCCTCCTCTTCCTCTCCTCCTTCTTGCGATCGGCTTGCCTGTCTCCATCCTGAGCTCTGAGAGAGGGAGGAGAAACAAAAGAATCCTGCTTTTATTTCTCTCAGATAAGACCAAGGCCCAGTCCCATTTCACCCCTTGCCCCTACCACTTAGCCCTACCCCTCCATTTTGTGTGTTCACGTCTAGGGTGTAGGGTGTCCTGATTCTTGTTGAGATAGAGGGGGAGGGCGAAGTGTTGGAGCTACATGACCCTCCAAATGGAGGTTTTTCAGAGACTCCAAACAGAGAGTTATGAGAAAAAAAGAAAAACTGGCAAATGGCTGAACAAGAGACCAAAGAAACACACAAATGTGTGAATTTTCTCTGTTATAAATTATTATTATTCTTAGTTTGTCATTTCAATGTCTTATGATCCTTTTCTTCATAACAGCCATTAAAAATAAATAAATGTAAAAAAAAACAAACAAAAAAAAAACACACCAGTAGTATGCCGCTATCTTAGCTAGCTAACTTTCCCATTCCACCTTAAATTGTGCAGCAGTTCTGATGTGTGAGGAACCAGAATGTAACTGCTGCTCTATTTAAGGTGGAACGGGAAAATTCAAACAAGAAGCTGGAGAATGTCTGACTTCAGCTTCATATCACTGAAGAATTAGGGGTGGGTGATAATAAATAATTGCCCCCTCTTTGAAGATCATATGATGCGCTAAATGTAACTAAAGCCCAGCAGTGAGGAGCTGAACTTTACCCTCCTCTGCTGTCACTGCAGACTGGCAGGGTCGCCTACAGAGCAGCGCTGGTAGCTGTTAATGAAGTGATGCTCTTTTTATTTGATCCCATTTCAGAGGGAAGATTTCAACCACTACCCCTTAGAACTCAGTTCCAAGGGGCAAGGAGACACTCGGAAACAAGGAGTGGGGTACATTTTTTGCTAAACCCGAGCCCACATTTAACAACACACACACGTATATACAAAAACCCCAAAATTACACATCTCCGATTGATACTAACTTCTTGAGGAAGGCCAAAGCCAGGGACGCAGCGTTTCCTTCGTTGTCCTCACTCTCGCTGCCGCTGTCTGTGGAATCTGAGCCCCAGATTTCATCATCATCGTCATCATCGCTCTCCGATTCATCATCCTAAACCGCAGCACAGTCAATTAACACCACTAAGAGCATGAACACACTTTAACTTGCTGCCTATTATGATAATTTATTTATGTTTTGGTTTTTTGTTATTAACCCTCGTGTGGTGTTGTGTTTGTTACTCGGTGGTCTGCTGGACCCACCGCACTGTTTTTTTTAAATCAAGACCTCCACACTTTTACTCCCCGTGGGTTCAGCCAACACCACATGTGCAATATAAATGTGTGGGGGGTGAACAGGGTTATTTTATATGTTCTTCACAGAAAATGAGCAAAGACCAAGAATCTGAGGCTGAAATAATAATAAATCACATCATTTTTTCTTGTGGTAAATATCGAAAACGGCCCTAGTGATATCTACAACAAACTCACAGCTGCTCCCTTGAGGAACTTGCTGGCCTCAGGAGCCGGCTCAGCCGCAGGCTTTTTCTTCATGAAGCTTTTAGCAGTGACCCCTTCTCCATCGTCCTCGCTCTCTAAGGACGAACCTGGAGATCACAGAGACATCACATTTTTTTCACAAACACTATCACTCCGCTGAGACGCCGTTGCTTAGCAGCGACTTCTGACCGACAGCCGATTTGGTCAGACTCTGAAGATGAGACGACACTAAATTTCCAAACTGTCGTCACCACTGAGCAGCTTTTCAGTCGGCAGCTGAGACAGAAGAACAGCTGAACAACCTGGAATCAGCCAGAAATGAACCCAACACCATTCGCCAAACTAAATGGGCTGTAAGATGCTTTACAGACTGGCTGGAACAAAACAACATTAATACTGATCTGGCAAAAACTGACAAAACTGAGCTGAACCTGATATTGCAGCAGTTTTATGGCTCAGTCTGATTTGGTCAGACTCTGAAGATCAGACTACACGTATGGTGTTGGGTTCATTTCTGGCTGATTCCAGGTTGTTTAGCTGTTCTTCTGTCACAGCTGCCGACTGAAAAGCTGCTCAGTGGTGAAGACAGTTTGGGAATTTAGTGTAAGGAGCTGGAGAACGAACTGCCGGCTGTGCGACGAGTGGGCGGAGCTCGTTACTCTGACGTATCAACAAGCTGCTCATTAAGGAACTATAATTTGGTGAAGGAACTGCGAACATTAAAACATATTAAACGCCGCGTTCACGGCCCAGTTTATTAATTTATTACTTTATTTAACTGTTGTATTAAAGCAACAGAACACTTGAGGAGTGTGTTATCGCCAATAACATCACGGCTGTGATGATCTACGGCGACCAAATCACAGCCGTGATGTTTCTCGATAACACACAACCTCGAGTGTTCTACAGCTTGTGCAGATTAAAGTGGCACTAACTGTCCACAAAAGGGGCCTTAGACTAAAAAAAGAACACACACTCATTGGCTGGAACATGCAGCCACTGCTGCTCTCACTGGTGATAAAAACTGGAAACATTTACACAATTAATTAAAGTAATAAAGATAGTCTAATGAAGCTTTATTTGTTCAGTCATACAGCTATAAAATCGTTGTTCAAGGTCACTTTTAAGCAAATGAAACAAGTGCAAATATTCACAATTAATCTACACTAAATAAAGCAACGTATATCAACTGTTTTGTCCGACAGCCCTACTCTCTTAAAAATAATGGTTCTTCAATGGCTCCTCAGTAAAAGACATTGTTTTTTATATATATATATATATATATATATATATATATATTTTGGGCATAACATACCAGACTCTGCCTCTTCCTTCTCCTCCTCTTCTTCTGCAGACTGTTCTGGGTTCTGAAAGCAATAACGAGATAAACGTAGTGATGGCACAGCACACATACGGGCCTTTTAAAAGCTTTTTTTGAAGTTCTAAGCCCACTGACCTCTTTGTAGTTGGCGATTTCTGTCTCGAAGTCGCGGTTGTATTTGCGGATCTTCTGCCGCAGGGTGCTCAGGGCTTTGGCATTGTTTTTGTTCATCTTCTTCTTCCCCTCTTTGTCCTCCCATAGCTGCCAAAACACATCACATAAATATAAACTCTCTGATCAGCCGTTTCTTAACGCCAAGTACAATCTAATGAAATACAGATGAGCTTTTAAAGGAACGTTTCTGTGAAAAGTCACCCTCTCCCTCTGTAGCTGATCCACCAAGATCTTTGCTAATTGCCAAGTCTTCACTATAATCCTCCATTACTTGCGACATTAACCTCATAACTCAAACTGAGACACCAAACATATTGACGAACTACATCTGATGCGAAGAAAAAAACAAAATATCTTTTGCCACCAAACTATTCCTTTTTAGCAACATGTGAAATGCTCCAAACTCTCTTGGACCCCGTTTTACACCTGGTCACTTCCTGTGCCCAGTATCTGGAGGTCAAATGCGTCCCCAGTTAGCTGGACTGAAATCTGATTGCTCTGGGGCAGAATATGCAAATCCGCTCTTCACATAGCAGCCAATCACCAACTGTTTACCCAGTTTCGGTTAAAGTGGGAAGAGGTCTGGTTGTACCAGGAGGGGTTTTGGTTGTAGTGGGAAGAGTTCTGGTATACTGGGAGGGGTTCCGGTTGTTCTGGGAGGGGTTCTGGTTGAAGTGGGAAGAGTTCTGCTATATTGGGAGGGGTTCTGGTTGTTCTGGAAGGGGTTTCGGTTGTAGTGGGAAGAGTTCTGCTATACTGGGAGGGGTTTCAGTTGTAGTGGGAAGAGTTCTGGTATACTGGGAGGGGTTTCAGTTGTACTGGTAGGGGTTCTGGTTGTTTCGGAAGTGGTTTCAGTTGTAGTGGGAAGAGTTCTGGTATACTGGGAGGGGTTTCAGTAGTACTGGGAGGGGTTCTGGTTGTTTCGGAAGTGGTTTCAGTTGTAGTGGGAAGAGTTCTGCTATACTGGGAGGGGTTCTGGTTGTTCTGGAAGGGGTTCCGGTTGAAGTGGGAAGAGTTCTGGTATACTGGGAGGGGTTTCAGTTGTACTGGAAGGGGTTTCGGTTGTAGTGGGAAGAGTTCTGGTATACTGGGAGGGGTTTCAGTTGTACTCGGAGGGGTTCTGGTTGTTCTGGAAGGGGCTTTGGTTGTAGTGGGAAGCGTTCTGGTATACTGGGAGGGGTTTCAGTTGTTGAATGTGTCTTGGAGAGACGGATGTGTTTACGCTGCTATAACGTTCACCTCCTGAAGCGGTCTGAGTGATCAATGCGCGTTTGGTGCGTTTACACTCCCATTTTTATGTGGCCTCATCCAGATATAATCCTGACCCTTAATATGCATGAAGTGACGAGGTGTAAACTGGGTCTTAGCCCTGTTACACTACCTATATATAACTACTCTTTAGAGGCGCTATACGTACCTGGTTGAGATAATCTTCGAGGTCGGCTAGAAGGCGGATGTAAAAGGGCGGCACTCCCTCTTTGTCCACTATCGCTTTACTCTTTAAGAACGCTCGACACAGCTGCTCAAACTCCTCCAGGCACTTGGCCATGTCTCTGATCTTCATGGCATTGCGGATGGTCTTGATCAGGTTTGTCAGCTCCTCGAACCTGAGAGGAAAAAAAACAGGTTAGCTGAAAAGTCTGAGAACATCAAATATGGAAAAAACTTATTATGAGACGTCCATAATGTTGTGCGGTATCTCCCACCCCAAGAGTGGAATCTTAAAATTCTGAAAATGAAACGTGTTTCTGTTTAATATCATTTTCACTAAACAAGAAAGTTTATTTCTTTAAGGTCTTAACAGAAACAATGTTATAGACTATTTTCATGAATTTTTATTTGTTGTTATCTTTACACCAACAATAATCGACGCTGTATGAGAATTAAATGTGTTTCCCCATCACGTGTCAGCTGTTATTAATTTAAAAAATATCCATATGCTCAATAATGTTAAACAGGTATACAGCATTTTGGAATGAAATGCTTCAAACTGTTAATCAAAACAATTACAACAGCTAGAATAACTCCGTGCTTTTGAATGTGTTCGAGCATCAAAATACAAAAACTTAACATTTCTACATGAATTAAAATACAAAACAGAAGACTTCTGAACTCAGTACTATACAAACAGTGTCTCTACTTTCACTAAAGTACAAGATTTGTATAGAAGCAAGTTGAGAGTGTGTATAATAAGCCCCACCCCTCCCGTTCAATTGTACTCTGACAGGCTGCACCCAGATGTCCAGTTCTGATAAATGACCCTTGAAAGAGACTGAGGGGCACATCAGTGATACTTTCACATTAAAGCACACCGTTTCATATTTAACGTTTTTACACTGAAATTGTTAAACGCTTCATGTAAAATGTAACATTTTTTTGAATGAATAAACCAAAACCATTTTTTTTTGCAGGAAATTACATCATTAAGTATATCACACAGTATTTTACCAAATCACCAAATCCGTTTGATGGAAACTTGAAAAAAAGCTTAAAACAGCACTTTTTTAACCCCTTTTTGACCAGGGTATATTTTGGTTTGTTCATCTGAATTTACATGACCAAATCGTATGCAAATTATTCAGTAACTGCATGAAATAAATGTAAATTTTTATTTATTTATTTTTTGTGAAAGCTCCCCTCAAATTAACAGAACATGTGTTTTATGATCACACATATTGCTATATGTTTACAATTAACTGCTGAAAGCCAAAAATCTTAGACACTCTTTGTATTATTTTATAATAATTTTTACAGAGCAGATCACTGAAGAGACGCCATCTGTTTATAGTTTATAGCCCTGATTTGTGGAAAAATGGGTCGACTTTCAGTAGAAAAAGTTCAGAGTTCAGCTTCTTTTATTATAAGGGTTTAAAATTACATCACCCATCTATTTGACTGGAAAGAAGACAGTTACAGCTCTCATACGACCCCCACCTTTAGAACGTAGCTTATGAAATATGAAAGTTATGAAGAATATGATGAAGTGTGTTTTGGAACCACCGGTGGTCTCAAGGAGTTGAAGAGGTTAAACACGTTTTCATTTAATCATTTGCAATTTGTGCAAAATGTGGATCGAGACAAAACTACTGTTTAAATATGTCACTGTTTAATCCTCCTCAAAATGCCCTGGAACCAAAGTGCTGGACCCTCCTCACCTCTTGTCCTTGGCACTGCGTACCACTCTTTTAGTGTCTTCCTCATCGTCACTCAGCAGCAGGTTCCTGAGAGAAAAAGAAAGCGTATTATAAAAAGGTTTACTCGTATAACGGCACATTCATTCCACACCGAGTAAAAACTGGCGCTCACTGCTTGTTGAAGGCAGTCCCGGTTGCTTTAGGAGTGATCTCCTCGGCGGACGAGGACTCCTCCGACTCGCTGTCGGATCCGGTGGCGAAAAAACGGGACATCCCAGGCGGTCACTGTGCTGCGGTTCGTAAGAGAAAACATTACGTAAGCGAACAACAACGTACAGCATTTATACCCAACTACAGAAACCCAGTCAGGAGCGTAACAGCACAGATAAACTGAGCGCTGCTCCAGTTCGGAACTTCAATTTGGATTTCAATAAAATGAAATCTCAACTAATTCTATCCTCTCAGACTAATACTGCGCTCAGTGCTCCTGCTGCATTCGATCTTTGTACTCCCTCCATCAGGTACTCTTTAAAATGGGAAACAAGGCTGCAATTTGCTGCATCAATCACGTTACGTTTAGGGCAGCCAATCAGAACAGAGTTATTTACATACACATGAATATTAATGGATACAGTGAGAGTTGGAAAATGGCCAGTTAAAAAAAAAGAATTATGACTGTTTATGGTACATAAACTCACACAAACGTTATAATACAAGACATTTATAGGATATAAAACTTTTAAAACATTAGCCGGTACTGCAGCATAGAGACATATGTAAACCTCACTGCAGGCGGATGTACATACAGGGTGTTGTGAGGCAAAATAGTCCCCAAAGAATTTTTTTTCCGAGTTTTCCACTATTTTCCCATCAACAACATTCCATATAAACTCAGAAGACTCGTGTAGGTTCACTGGTGGTTCTGGATAGTAAATAAAATGTCTATATTTGTGTTGTAGTCATGGTGACCCCTGGTTCCTATCACCACCACTGTAAAGACATCTGAACCATTTCACACCAAACCACTCTCAATCACTCTGTTTGCACCTCAAGGACTGAGCTATGCATAAATTTTGAAAAATCGGTGGAATTAGCCTTCAGCTAAGCGAAAGAACAACAGCGGTGACGTCTTAGTGAACTCCAGCTGGTAAGTGTACACTACGTGCTACGCCAATTGGAACACAGCCGGGCAGCATATCGTCAAAATTTACAAACAATATAACGGTAATGTTACAGCGATTTGACTCATTTGATTTATTTGTCGAATAAGCACTGGTATAGCTCCCTCTCCGCCGGTAGGTGGCGTCTTACTGGCTCTCTTTTCGCTATTAGCCAGAACAGCCGCTAGTTTTAGCGCAAGGGCCGTTATTCTACAGCGGCGGCCTGAGATCCGCACTCCAGTTAAGCGGTCTATCGGACACAGAAAGCCCGCGAATTTAGAGCGCGGCCTTCGGATTCGGCGCAACACCGGCACGCGAGGCGGGGCTGAATCTGCCGAGAGGCAGAATTCGGCCCAACACCGGCTATCAGCGGACCGAGCGCTGCGGCGCGACGCCGCTTCTTTCAGCCCGCGGTTTCGCCGTAACCCGGCTCGCTCTGCTGGAGCCTGCAGCGTCTCCTACCTGTTAGCGGGCGGAACTGAGCGCGTGCCGGTGTTTCTGAGTCTTCGGCTCCGCTTTATGATCCAGATTCGCAGTTTTAAGCGCGCGGAACGGCAGCGTGCGCCTCCGAGCTTTATCGGTGACTTCCGACGAGACAGGAAAGAGTAATGGGGCGGCGGAGCTGCAGCGAGAAGCCACCGAGGCCCCCTACTGCAGAGGGGTGGTACTGCACACGGTAAGGCTGCAGCGGCCCGCTTTCACCAGCAGGGGGCATCATTTCTCACACCGCACTGTTTTCACTTAGACATGACCAGAGCCGGTTTATGAGGAGTCTGGCCGCTTCTTATTTCCCCCTTATATCAGAAACAGGACTGCTGAACAGCAGGGGGCGCCCGCGAGCGAGTCCTCAATGAATGGGAGTGAATGGAGCTAAAAACGAAACGTTAAAATAGTTTCTAATCACTGAACCAGAACTTTCCTTTAGTTTTAGACAGTAGAAGGATGGATTTCACTAAATAAACAAAGAAATCTCACCTGTATGTTTCCTTTTTCTACAGCAAACGGGTTTTGGGCAGCAGGAGGCGGGCATTACTGCTACTGAGTGCTGATTGGCGAACGGAGCAGCTCATTGGCTGTTCGCGCTCACTGACGTTATGAATATACATGAGGCGCCGTTTTAAACTCCTATAATTCGAGTTTAAAAGCTCTTAAAAATATAACAGCAGTGTTAAAATGTTTTATGCTGCTCTGTGTTCAGGAAATTAATGAATTCTTTTACATTAAAATATTTAATCATTTATAAACTATGATTTTGCTCAAATGCTCCCTATCAACCCATTCATTTTGGACTGGCTCAGGAGCGCCCTCTAGTGTTTGAGAATACCCAGAAGACACTGCAGAGCGGAATTCTCTCTACAAGTTCTCTGGACACGACAACCTAGCGGTGAAGTCCATCCATTTTTCAAAATTTTGGCATAATTCAGTGGTTGAGATAAGGTAGAGCTGGGCAATATCTTGATATTTATCATTATCGTGATGTTACATCACAACATGCTTTTCTGAGTATACTGTGTATAGAGTCAGCCCGCTGTCACCCAACTGCCCGTCTGATTTGAATCAGAGCATAATTAGTCCTGTTTACTTGGATTTAGTGCAGTAATGCGTAAAATGTTGAATGCAAATAATTGGATTCATAAACTTTGATAGAACTTTTTAAAATGTGGCACTTCTTCATCTGTTCTAACCTATCAGGCCAGGTTTTGGTCTGAAATGGTTGATTGTAGAGACTCGGATGTCTTTACAGTGGTGGTGATAGGAACCAGGGGTCGCCATGACTACAACACACATATAGACATTTTATTTACTATCCAAAACCACCAGTGAACCTACACGAGTCTTCTGAGTTTATATGGAATGTTGATGATGGGAAAATAGTGGAAAAAAAATAGTTCATTTTGGGGACTATTTCGCCTCACAGCACCCTGCATGTATCCCTCCACCATGAATGGATTTTAAGGCCAAAATCTTCTGAAAACTATTGTAGAACAGTGTCTCAGACTTCAGGCAGTGAATTCATAACCATTTCATGTAGTAACTTTCTGAGGGAGCTTTTAGAGGTGGACGTCTGGTTCCTATCACCACCACTGTGAACAGTTCTGACTCGGCAGTTTCTCTAGAAACACCAAACCACTCTGAATGACTCTGTTTACATCATAACCATTTAATTATGTAGGAATTTTGAAAAATCAGTTGAATTCCCCTTTGTCTGTCAGCTCAATAATTACTGCCACCCTTGGTAAAGATGGGTGGTGAACTCTAAGTCTAAGAAGACTAAAAAAAACTGCCATTTTTGTTCAGCTCCTATAGAAATGATTTGAAATTCATACCAAATTGCAAATTTATGTAATGTTAATTTGTTATATCTAATATTTCGACACTAGATTCACATATTTCGGTTTGCTCACCATTTACCGATGTACATACATTCACTGAATGTGTCCAGTAAAGTTATGCAGATCCACCAGCCTCTAAATGAACCTGTGCACATACAGTATCGGTTCTCTTAAGATGACTATATGGTGAAGAGAACATTCTTAAGGAACCGATGCAGCATTTCAAAGCCAAACGAACATTTAAGCAGCCGCTGATGAGCATGAAGCAAAACACCAAAGCCCGGGATTATATTCATACAAAAGTACAGTTTATTGTCACAAATAATAATAAAAATCAACAATTAGACCTATTGAGAGAACAGTCGGAGGAAAAAAAAAGCATGTCTAAAACAGATTGGTTCTGCTTCTTGTGTTCCAATTCTTTCCAGTGTAAGCTTTTCTTTTTTTTTTAATCACTGCCGGGTGGAGCTCCTGCAGGGATTCCTTCACGAAAGTCAAAATCTGTACGACTATGACTTGATGGGGGGGGATAAAAGAATGCATAAACTAGAACAAAGAGCGGAAATGTCACGTGTTCTCCTACATGTTTAAAACATAAGGGAATAGTTTGAAAAGAAGACTTAGAAAAAAAAAGGTAATGCGGGCGTCCAATAGCCTTCCTTCCAGCCTGCAGATGAGCTTGTGAAAACGCTGTGCGCTTTGGGCGCGTCTCCCGAATCCGTGGTTGCCTCAACTGTCCGTAGTGCTATTCACATTGGCTAGAAAAACGTCTACAGCTAACAGCGCGTTTATGAAAGCAGGTGACTTCACAGCAGCGCGAGAGGCCGTAATGCCGAGTCTGTGTGCGAGAGAAATCCAGGCGATCGAGAGTGTGTAGCAGAGAGAGAGAGAGAGAGAGAGAGAGAGAGAGAGAGAGAGAGAAGGATGCTTATAAAGGACACAAAAGAGTAGAAAAGGATTTAAATGATAGAGTAAAAAAAGAGAAGAGCACAGTTAAGACAGCTGGGCATGGAAAGGGCGGATAGATAATAGAAATACGAGAAGATGCAGGACTCGCTTCCTGCAGAAAGGTTCCTAAAGTCGCCGCGGCCTCACAGGAAGTAGTCGGCCACTGGCTTTTTGGAGGGAATGCCTCGCGTTTCCTGTGGAGCAGCTTCGAATATGATAAACTCCTTCTGCAGGTGTTCGTCCAGCTCCAGGATGGCCGCCACATTACCGCACCTGGGACAAAAACGCATATATTAACAATAATTTACATATAAAACATGACAACTGCTTTTACAAACACATCAAATATCAGTTTGAAATGTGGGGTTTTTTTTTAAGGAATAATCTGGCGATACAGATATGATCATTGAACAAAGAACAAAGGTTCTGACATTCACCAGTGTTTTCTTATGTGGGATTTTTTCTTAGGTAAGAACAGAATCTACACACACTCAAGAGCACAAAGGTGAGAACAGTTCTGCACTTTAAGAACACGTCATGAATCTGACGAAGACTTTTTCTCAGGACCTTTCTCAAGAAAATACTTTGGCAGATACTGGTAAACGAGGCCCATTGTGTGTCCGTATTATGTAATAGTGCAAGTGAATGTTATTAGTATATTCGCTCATACGAGCATGTACGCGTACCTGTAGCAGTAGTTGGGCGCAGACCACACAGTGAGCACAGTTTCATTAAAGTGCCACTTGTAGCCCTCCATGACGAGCTGGTGGGCTCTACAGATCATATCGATGTCGTTGGCGGCGTTGAACTGGGCCACAACGTCACTGCCGAACAGATATCCCGCTCCTCTCGGGCTGACCCCCCAGCCTGTAGTGTCTGACCACAAACAGAACAGAGACGATTCACTCGGATGAAGCAGAAATCAACACAAAAGCCTCAAACGCTTCTTTGGGTTTACTTCGATTTAGGCCACAATTACAGACCGAAAAAAAAATAATAATTAATAAATAAATAAATAAATAAATAAATAAATAAAAACACACACACACACACACACGCACACGCACGCACACGCACGCACACACACACCACAAACATGATATTATATTAAAATGTTATTATAAATGTTCAGACTCAAATTGTTTGTGGCAACGTGATGTTTTCTCTCACAGCTAAGTTCGAGCCGATTTTGGAGATGCGGCTCCAGACTAAAAGAAGCACCAAACAATCGGTACAAAGAAGATCTGATTCTTTGCTCTCAGCAAAATAGACAAGTAGGACAGACAGTGAAAAGGTGGGATACTGTCCATTTAGGTGAAAAAAAAAAAGTGAAAGTAGTGCGAAGAGCTGAAAACGCTGAGTTCTTCCAATTTAACTAGACATCTGTAGCTCAGTTTGAGCTGCTTTCAGAGATTCTGATCCTTTTGGGATTTGTGAGAAAGTTCTATTTGGTGAACAAAGCTGCTCCGTCAGCTCGGTCGTCGTCATGCCAACAGCAGAGGTGACCATGACTGGTCAGAGAGTTTGTCACTGTGTGCAAGATACCGTCAGTTACACACATGCCAGAATTATTTACTGTCGTCCGAATAAACTCACACGAGTAAACAGTGTTCAGTGCGTAAAGGCCTTAAGACTGGCGTGATGAGAGGAAATGAGCTGTGTCGTAACAGAGAAGAGGAAGCGTTTTTACAGGCTGTAACTTACTGCTGAGTCAGACTTCTTCAGTAACATCATTGTTTAACGAGCACCTGATTATAATTTCTCAATACGCTAACAGACTGAAGGAACTCAGCGATCAATAAAAAGTAAATAAATAAAAACAATGTATGTATTTACTTAATTTCCCCTTTTAAGCCAACAAGAGTCAATCAGCCAGGACATGTTTGGTGTCTGAAGTTTGCTTCTGTAGTTCTGCACCGCAGCTACAAGGCTAATGTAGCTTACAAGTAATGGAAGCTTATACCCCACCAATCAGCATCACACTGAATTACACCCTCGTCTCAAACTGTGTCCAGTTGTTAAGTCATCTTAGACTTGCTTGTGAGTTTATGTACCAAATGAAATTATGTCAGGTAATACTGTGTATTACCTTCAGGGTCAGACCACAACAGGTCACACATTGGTCCATCGTGTGGCACTTCCTGTTTCCTGTCGATGGTCCTGATCTGGTCCAGAGTCTGGATGGAGGGCGAGAGGCCGCCGTGCACGCAGAAGATCTTTGGAAAAAGAGAGGGCAAATTTATTAACAGACAACAACAACGGCAGCAGCTCTATTATGCACTATTCAGGCCACGCTGTCCATGAACACGTACGCATGCAGGTGAATGAACCAAAGGACATTATATCTGAACAAACTCCCACTACGATAATCAATAAAAGCTTCAACACGCTCAGCGGACTGTTACGGTGACTGACCTTGCCGTCGATGATGGCCGAGAGGGAAAGGTAGTCGAAGATTTCCGTGCAGTACCTCCAGACTGTGACTGAGCCGTACTTCCTCAAACACTCGTCGTAGAAGCCGTACACCTGTGTGATCTGCCTGGACTCGTGGTTCCCCCGGATCAGCGTGATTCTGTCTGGGTAGCGCACCTGAGGCAGAGAAGGGCAAGTTTGAAGGGGGTCTTCACTTAAAAAAAAAACTTTTATTTCTACATTAACAAAATCTGTGGACCAATTAGCGTGCAAGTTGCAAATGCAGCCCAGCTACAGCCTTGGGCCACAACACGACTTTTAAAGTCTTAACAGATTATAAAAGACTGGGCGCCTCACACCATCAGGCTGGTTTTTGACTTTTTTGGGCGACTGAAATACTGGGGATCAAACACTACTCAACTTTTAAGCTGCTGCTGAACTGAACGGAGCTCACTGAACTCACCCGTTACTAGGAGACCTGCTGCTGTTTTCTCTGCCGTTTGCGCCGACACAGTAAAGAAGCAGCAGATAAACATGTTTAAGTGGCGATCATGGATTTAAAAATGTGATCAGTCAGTTTTAAACATAAATAAACTCAATTGTGCCTTTAACTCAGCTCATTAAAAAGCTTTGCTCCACACGTAAGAGACTTTTCACCATTTTTCTTTGTTTTTCTTGCTGTATTTTCTTCTTTCGTGCTCTCAGTTTTCTTTCGCTGTTGCAGGAGTCTGTTCAGATCAAGTCGTTGATCAGTTCACACTAGATTTCGCTCAGTTGGGTCGAAAAGATCAAACATGTTTGATAAACTCCGACTGGTCTGAAACGCGATCGGGAGGCTGTAAATCTGAGTCTGCGCCCCTCAAACACGACCCGACTCTCTCTCCAACTGACGACTCAGACTGACCCAAAAATCTGCAGACTAGAGCCGACCAGCTCAGACTCAGCCAGACTGAGAATCGGGGCTAAAATCGGGGTAAAAGTCGTGTAGTGTAACCCAGGCTTAACCAAACATCAGCAGCTTGTGTTAACTATGAGATACATTTGTGTCATTCGGGACGATAATGACCCCAAACACCCTCTGGTGGGCCTTGGGAGAATAACACAAGGATTGCTCTGCTCATCTATGACAGTATTTGTACTAAATTCTTATTTGCATGTGAAAACCCCAACATTTCTCAGTGAACTGCCTATAATTAGAGCCAACTGCATGTAAATGCAGTCATGCTAACCAAACATCACCAGCAGTTAACAATAAGCTATGTTTCCCTTTTCCCAGCCAGCCAGATGCCCTCCAGTGGGAGGGGGAGGATGAATGACTGATTATTTTCTTAATCTATACAAACATTAGTAGGTTAAACATCTGTTTAGGATTGATTAAATCATATTAATGATCAATAATTGTGACAAAGTTACCTCCCAGTTCATGCTGCAAATGCACATAAACTCACAGCTGTTCTATCTGCAGGAAAAACAGTAAATACAGTTGTGAGAAACACTCTATGAACCTTAAGTGCCAGAAGCAAGAGGAAAGTCTCCACACTGTAAAAGCCTCTGTCCACAAAGTCTCCCATGAAGAGGTAGTTTGTTTCTGGAACGTCACCACCCACCTAAAAAAAACAAAAAAGGTCCAAATGAGCTCCACTTAAATACCCTTCAGGCTGTATGTTGAGACAAGCAAGCAAACCTCACCCAACACACACTCAGTTTTAAGATAGGATTTAGGATTTAATATTAACACAAAAACAAACTCAGCATAGACATAGAAATCTCACACAATCATAACAGAGGAAGAACCAGAAAAACTGCCGATTATTAAAGCCAGGTGTTTAGATGCAGCCCAAGAGCTGTTTAATTATCAGCAGCACATTTGGGCGTGAATAAGACTCACTCTGAAAAGCTCCTTCAGGTCGTAAAACTGTCCGTGGATGTCACCGCACACCTGTGAAAGAAAGAACGTGTTACGTTAGGTCACCACACCACATGACGCAGAAGCTATTCTGCAATCTGCATACTTGAGTGCGTGCTGTGTTGAGGGTGGAGTGTCTTGTTGGTTAGACTTAAAGTAGAAATGGTCCCAGATGACTGTACAACCGCTAATATTATAATACTCGCTGATCAAAAACAGTAGAGCCTCCTTCTTTCATATCGATTCGATATTACTAACATTGCTATTTCTGATCAGCGAGCATATTAGAGGATGTACAATCATAGTTTACTGTCAGAATCAACCTCTGGAACAAATGAATCTCATCTATTATCAATTATTTTATTTAGAATGAGCAACCAATCAATAATTATACATGAATATTTATACCTACAGTCGTATGAAGACGTTTGAACACCTCCTGCACAATTACAAGTGTTGGGTGAAGAGCTTCATGACTTCATTCAGAAGCTGAAACGGTGAGCTCGTCCACATCAACCTAGATATTAGTAGCTCAGTTTGAGCTGCTTTCAGAGATTCTGGTCCTTTTGGCATTTGTGAAAAAGTGGACCACAGCTGCTCCGACCAGCAGTGGTGACCATGACTGGTCAGAGAGTTTGTCGCTGGCATTTTTGCAGAACAATGTGCAAGATAAGCATCAGTTACCCACATGCCAGAATTATTTACTGTCATTTAAATACATCACAGTCAGTGTGTAAAGGCCTCAAGACTAGCATGCTGAAAGGAAATGAGCTGTCGTAACAGAGAAGAGGAAGCATTTTTACAGGCTGTAACTTACTGCCAAGTCAAACGTCTTCAGTAACACCCTTATTGTTTAACAAGCACCTGATTATAGTTTATCAATACACTAACAGACTGAAGGAATAACTCAGCAATTAGATACATGATAAATGAATAAATAAGTATGTACATGATTTCTCTCTTTATGTCAAATACAGAGAATCAGCCAAGACATGTTTGGTGTCTGAAGTTTACTTCTATAGTTTTGCACCACAGCTATGATGCCAATGCAGCTAACAAGTGATGGAAATTTAACCCCCCCAAACAGCATCACACTGAATTACACCAGTTGTTGGTCATCTTAGACTTGCTTATGTGGTTTCTGGGTCTGCATGACACTCATATAGAAAGTACGTTCACGATTTCTCGTGTTCTCTAAATGACAAGTGAAAATAAGTTCATGCATCCTCTACAGAAACATCCTGCAAATTTTAGAGCACAATTTTTGTGGAATTTAACATATTTGGAGGGAAAAAAATAAATGATAAAATATGAAATGTGTCGTAACTTTTGCACAGGCCACATATGACCATTTTTACCCCAAACATGTTAAATTCAGCAAATGAACAGTAACGGTACATTAAACTGTGCAGAAGTGTGTCTCTGTAGAGGACGTGTTCACTTATTTACACTGAGAAAATCAGCAAAACTTGGAATTAGAGCAGCGGCGTGTTCAAACGTTTGCATACGACTGTTTGTGACTGATGTACAGTACATTAAAAAGTTTCACAATAATTACATGCAAATAAAAGTAAACATAAGATTAACATAAGTCTTTGCAGCTTAGTTTTCATGAACATTTCTCTATGATATGAACCATTTAAGCATGCATGACTAATACAATAATTGGGGGGGGTGGTTGTTTACAAAAGCCAAACACACAAACATGGACTTTCTTTCACAAGCAATAGCTAACTATACTGGAAGTGCTATAGAATATTTAATACTGTACAGCATTAAATGTACTTCATATCCAAGTATCTTGTACACTACTGTACATATATATATATATATATACACACACACACACACACACACACACACACACACACATTATATATTACATGACTATGACTTAACAGTCCTTATAATACCAACATAATACTAATACTACTATTAATAATCTGCACCATGTAACCTTGATTGTTACTTTATTTAGTTCTTGGTTCACACCAGCTGGAACACACACAGCCACACATTAACACAGGCCATCTAAGGGTGGGCAGTACTTTACAGTCCCCAAATTTCTGTGAGATTTACTCACCAAAACACAACACATATGGCACAGAACTCAAATCCCTCCGACTTACTGTAACTGGAGAATCCACTCTCTGTACGTTGCTCTCCTCCACAAGAATCTCCCTACAACACAGACACAATCGAGAGATTAATATCAGGCGATAGTATTACTAACAGGAACGGATACCAGAACTGGGATCACCACAATATTTATCAGGGGTGGAAAATATGGCCAAAATATTATATCACAGTTCTTCAAGACATATTGACGATATATTTAGTTTTTCTGATGTTTAATAAATCAAAACAGACAAAACAGAACCTGTAGTGACATAAAAATACTATAATAATTAAAGCTTTTATTATTGTTTTACAAACTGCGCTGCACCAAAGCCAATTAAACTGGTATAATTATGCTCTATTTGTAACGAGATATGTAATCAATGTTTAAGATGCCTCAGAAAAGTGTACTGTGACATAATTCATCAAAATAACGATAAAATATCATCATATTGCCCCTATTTATTGTCAGAGCTGCACATCTGTCCAAAAGTTTGTCGACTCCAGAGTTTCCTCTGAAATGAAGGTGTTAGTAGTGAGTCTGTGCTGCAGTAACAGCCTCTACTCTTCTGGAAAGGCTCTAGATGTTGAACACTGCTGTGAGGATTTGATTGAGCATTAGTGAGGTCAGGTACTGATGTTGGATGGTCAGTTCTGGATCACTCCAACTCATCCCAAAGGTATTGGATGGAGCTCCATCACTCCGGAGACCACAGTTTCACTGCTCCACAGCCCAATGCTGGGGGGCTTTAGACCCCTCTAGCCCATGCTTGGCACTGGGCATGATGACCTTTGGCTTAGTGTGGTTTTCAGAGCATCTCAGTTTCAGATTTTTTGAACAGTACAAAATACATTATACAGTGAGTTTCCTTTTTGTTTCCTGATTAATGTTTTCAATGCTGTTTAAGGCCCTTTTAGTGTCATTTTAATAGAAACAGAACAAAACAGTCCAGTCAAAGTAAGCTTCATCACAATTATGAGATATTCTTTTAGCACAGGGTTGAAGTACTCAGGCAGCAAGAGCTCATTAATTAGTGCAAACTTAAATATAATATGACACCACGTCGAGGAGCCAGGTTTAAAATTAAGCTGTCAAACTGAATTCAAGCAAATGACTTAAAACAGCGCCACAAATATGCAAATTAGGCTGGGTTTCCATCAGCGCTGTACAAGAGAATAAAAACCCGTCATGCTCGTAAAACATCTGACAATTATAGAGCGAGTTTACAAAGAGGCCTTTAATGTTGAGCAGCCTCTCGTCACTGTTTTGTTTATGTTAATTAACTAAATGCATTTATTTCCCTTTGGCAAAAAAATCATCCAACTCAAGCAAGCATAAAAACTTTTAGCAATTTCATCAATAAATTTTGACATACAGTTGTATGCAAACGTTTGAGCACCCTGGTCACACTTTTTTGAGTGCAACCAAGTTAACACATCCTTTAAAGAGCTCACACTTCTACACTTCTTAAAGCACAATTACTGTTTATTTGCTGAATAAACTAGATTGGAAATGTGGCCTGTTCAAAAGTTATGGCGCATTATTTATCATATGATTCCACCCCCCAATATGTTTAACAAATGATTCAAATTTCACTACAGATTTTGCAGCAATGTCATATCTAAGTGTGTTCCCCATAGAGGATGCGATAAAATGAACAAAACATAATTTGATGCAGGGTACTTAGACTTTCGCACACAACTGTACACATAAAAATCACAGAAGAAAACCAGGACACCGTGATGGAAAGGTATACATCACTGCCTGGAAAAGTATACATCATTACTGACCAGCAGTAGCCATCTGTATGGCATACAGAGCACTGTCCACCTTTAGCTGAACCTCACCAAAGGCCTATTCAAAGGAGCACTCCAGTGTTTTTCTATGCAATCTCCAACTGAAGCCTATTGATTTTTACTATAAATGCCTCTCGTGGTAAAAGGTTTTCTGTTCTTTTCCAGTGTAACACATTAGGGATGCTCAATGACACCTGTGTCTGCAGATATTTCCTGAAAAAGCATATCAGTATCAGACAGATGTTTAGGTATGACCTATATTCCATAACAAAACTTCACAGCTTATCTACTGTACTTCAGAAGACCAGAACAGCTCAGTTACTGCACTAAATACCTGTATTTTACTCATTTTACTGTGATCTGTAACCCTAAAAGCCTAAAATGTTTCAGGAATGCAAATCAAAGTGGATCGAATCCCAATTTCTACATTTTATAAATGATGTTTTGGCTTTGGCAGATACAAACATAAACATTATATAAAGAAGTCCCACATTGAAGCATCCCTAAAGCGCATCGTCATTTGAGCCGTTTGATTGTACAAAACAGACGCAGCAGTCAGAGATCAGGCTTTAAAATGCTGTTGAACTCCTTTAAAAGCAAGAACGCAGGCTGGCCTGGCTTCTGCTGTTTATTACCTGGCTTTGGCACACAAGGCTTTGACCTCATTCTCCTTGATGAGCTCACACCTCCTCAGCTGGTCAATCTGTCTGTCCAGATCACTGATGTCACCCATGGTCAATCGCCCAAACAGAGTCTGTCTGTTTCCCCACACGCGTCACCGTCCGCCGCCTGCTGCTACCGACACGGCCTCTCTCAGCGCTTCACTCACTCACTCTCAGACAAACGAGGCAGGGATGAAGTAGAGAAGGAGCTGAGATGGCAGGGCGACCGCAGGTGAAACCACCTGTGGAAGAGAAAATAAGGTGTTGCACTTGGTCAATATGCTCACGCAGTCCACTGTTTAATAAGCAACTGGCGTAATCCTAGGAAGTCTAATCTAAGAGGAGCGTCCCATCCTTGCAATCCATCACCCATTAATAAGGCCTCAATTTGCATTTAATTTCATAACATCAGTGTTTGTTGATCCCTGCCTACAATATTCATGCGATCAGCTATCGCAATAATGGACTTAAAGGAGAATGCCACCCATTTTTTCCAAGTCCCACATAATTACATGATGAAGTCATTCAGAGTGGTTTGGTGTGAAACGCTCTGTTCTAGAGAAACTGCCGAGTCAGAATTGTTCACAGTGGTGGTGACAGGAACCAGACGTCCACCTCTAAAAGCTCCCTCACAGAAAGTTACTACATGAAACGTTTACAGATACCCTGCTTGATAGCTGAGACATTGTTTTACAATAGTTTCTAAAATAAAATTTTGGCCTTAAAATCCATCAGTTGTGTAGGAATACATAACATGCAGGGCGCTGTGAGGCAAAATAGTCCCCACAGAAAACTTATTATTTCAGATATTCCACTATTTTCCCATCATCAACATTCCATATAAACTCAGAAGACTCGTGTAGGTTCACTGGTGGTTCTGGATAGTAAATAAAATGTCTATATGTGTGTTGTAGTCATGGCGACCCCTGGTTCCTATCACCACCACTGTAGACATCTAAACCATTGCAAACCAAACCACTCTGAATGACATCAAGGACTGAATTATCCAGAAATTTGGAAACATGGGTGGAATTCCCCTTTCATTTCATGCCACAAATGGCATTTAGAAAGCAAAGGAAAATAAAACTCATAAAAAGCCAAATAAACACAGTTTACAAAACAAAAACTACATTATATGACATCACTGACCACCTCACAGCGTGCGTCCACTCCCACATCGTTACATAAGGAGGCGAACCTCGCAGTGAAAGAAGTGAACTGTTCACTGCAGAGACCTAGTTTTAACTTCCAGTTCTTGGATCAGCTACAGACCAATTAACCAGGGCGGAACAAAAACGCGTGACATAAGCAAAGGCTTGACATCACCTACCTGACCTGTTCTATTTCCTACAAGGCTGAATAAAAAAGCGTCGAAAAAAAAAAAAAGTTCATTAAGGTTTCTTTAGTAAAGCCGACGGTTCCACTTAGAACCATGAGTTCTATGTAGACGCATTTGCATGCTTAAACTGTTCTTTGCATGGTGGAGAACATGTTGAAAATGGCTTTACATAGCATCAACAGGGTTCTTCTAGATGTCAAGCGTTAACGGAAGAACTCTTTTTGCAGCTGCATAGAACCATAAGTTCCAAAAAGAACCATTCTCGTACTTATACGGTTCTTTGCACGGTGGAATCGTTCTTCAGACTGATGGAGAACGTGGTGAAAATGGTTTTACACAGCACCAACAGGGTTCTTCTAGACGTCAAGCTCGAACAGAAGAACTCTTTTTGCAGCTGTATAGAACCACGAGTTCCAAAAAGAAACATTTGCATGCTTATACGGTTGAAATGGTTCTTCAGATTGATGGAGAACGTGCTGTATATCGTAATAGCAGAAACCTGTATGGTGTTACACGGAACCTTTTTCAAAAAAGGTTCTATATAGAACCATAGACATCACAGTCCCCATTAATCAGAGGAACCACTTCGCCAGTGCAGAGGAAATTTTAAAGCATGTAATTGGTTCTATGTGGATCTCACTCACTTATTAAAGAACCATCTTTTTTGAGGAGTGCAGTTTTCAAACTGCTCATAATGATCGACCCATGAAATCTAAGATCATCGATCATCAGTGTTTCATTAACTAGACAGGACTGTCAACCACACCACTGACGTCAGACAACTTTCGGACAATATCAAAGTATTAATTAAAAGGCTGGCATTATTTAAACAGTGGTGGGCAGTTAATTAATTATATAGAGTAGATTTTAAAGATAACTCTGTGAAATCATTCAACTCGCAACGCCGACGTGTGTCGCCTGCTAACAGTTAGCCATCTACATTAACTTGGGCACGAAGCTGAAGCTTCTTAGTCGAATTCCCCGTTCCACCTTAACTAGTGCAGCCGTTACCGCAGCATTTAAGGTGGAACGGGAAATTCGAATAAGAGGCTAACCTCAGCCTTGTGACAACCTTAGCGAGGTAGCTAAACTTCGTCACTACAAACTCGCTCTTTTCTTGACGTTAAACTCCCTAAAAGAGGCCTGGTGGTCATTTTGCTATCCTACACGAACGAAAAGAGCAACATAAGACTTTCAGGTTATTTGATTAAAATAAAACGTTTCGTAAAATACTTCGTGATCACAGACGCGAAAGTTGGCTTCCCATTCGAATATCCCGTTCCACCTTAAATGGCGCGACGAGACCGTGACTAACTGCTGCGCCATTTAAGGTGGAACGGGACATTCGAAAAAGAAGCTAAACTTCGGCTTCGTCGGACGCGACCGAGGCTCACCGGCTAAGCTAACAGGACGAGGGAATCGCTTTAAAGAACTTTTTAAAGACTCGGATTCGGCTTATATGGCCAAATATCACCCCTATTTTATAATATCAGACGTACATTTTAAGTAAACAATAACGGAATCCGACATAAACCGGCTCAACCGAGACTGGCCGGCTATGCTAGATAAGATAACGCTAGCTTAGCTTAGCTCAGCTTACCATCCATGGCCTAACGCAGCGATTCTCCGGCTAAATACACACAACCAGCCGCTCGACACTCAACTAAACAAAGTCTCGACGAAAAGGAGTTCGTTAAATTACCTGAACCACTTCGATCGTACTTGGAGTTTGGCGAGAAAAACCGAACAAACTTGTGGTGCTGTTCGTTTTTTTTCCTTTGACCGGCTCGTCGCTCCGACCGGCTTTCAGCACCTCCTCCCTCTGCCAGCCATCCGCTCGCTATACATCACTACCCAGCACAGGGTAGTGTTGGAGAGTCGACTCCAAAAGAACCGGTTCTTCGACTCCAACCAGGAGTCTGGGAGTCGGAGTCGACTCCTGGCTAGTGACTCTTTCCTTCATGATTTGGGTTGCAATAAACAACGATTAGACACGGGACAAGGAACAAACACGAAAACAAACGTTGGAAAGGAGGATGAACATGAGATTTGCTCCTTTTTGCCAGCTACTTATTTATTTCCGTTTCACCTTAAATGGCGATACTGTTGCTGCAGTTACACTCTGGTAACTACATTAAGGTAACTGCTGCATCTCTTAAGGTGGACCGAATGAGAAGCTGGCAAATACGCAACTGCAGTCTTATGTAAAAAAATGAAAATCCAGTTTTCTTTGAAGAATTCTGACTACAGTAATGATTTCCTCAGTACATCACTCCGCTCTTCATTATGTGACATGAATATTTTCTTCATTATCACTATAATCTGTAGCTACTCAAAAAGGGTAACATACGTTTAGGATGGTTTAATATTTGCTGTTCTTTTACCACCGGCTCAGGGGCCGCGTTGATTTTAAATTAAGCGGAGTCTAAGAGTCGACTCCATTGATTCCAGCGGCAGGAGTCGAGAGTCGGAGTCGACTCCAGAAAACTCGGAGTCGTTCATCACCAGCACAGGCACTCTCCCGCCGCCTAAAGGCCAACAGCACACCACTAAATATCACACTGGAGCGAGAAAGCGCTCTGGTATGCGGGTTAAAGGTGAATTCCACAGGCTTTTCAGAAGTTCAGCATAGATATATCATTAAGATGTAAACAGAGTCGTTCAGAGTGGTTTGGTGTGAAACGCTCTGTTCTAGAGAAACTTACTGAGTCAGAACTGTTCACAGTGGTGGTGATGGGAACCAGACGTCCACCTCTAAAAGCTCCCTCACAGAAAGGTATTACATGAAATGGTTATGAATTCACTGTCTAACCCCTGAGACGTTGCTTTGAGATAGTTCTGAGAACATTTTGGCCTACCCGGATTTTTACTTTTTTTTTACTAGTGTCAATATTTGTCAATGTTTGTATTTTGTAGCCTACACAAATAAAGAAGGTGGGTGGGATTCAAAATATGTTTGAAAAATGCATTCAAGTAAAGCATTGAAAGCATGTTTATTATAAAAAATATATATATTATTAAAATATGTTTGGGTGAGGGGGTTAAAGTAACTTTCTGGCGGGAATGAATCAAATGCCCTATTAGGCCAAATTTAGCCTGAACTAAACCATATGTTTTAAAACTACGTTCAGGATGTTGTGAGGCAAAAATAGTCTCCAAAGAAAACGTATTAGTTCAGATTTTCCACTATTTTCCATCATCAACATTCCGTATAAACTACACAAGAAGACTTGTGTAGGTTCACTGGTGGTTCTGGATAGTAAATAAAATGTCTATATTTGTGTTGTAGTCATGGCGACCCCTGGTTCCTATCAGCACCACTGTAAAGACCTCTGAACCATTTCACACCAAACCACTCTGAAAGAGTCTGAACAATTGAGTTATGCAGAAAGTTTGCAAGTTTGAAAGTTAGTGGACTTCCCCTTTGACAAAACTGAAAAGTGCCTATTTTCTTAAATAGAACATTTATTCCTTAAGATAAAAATATTATACATAAACAAATAAATTTTAAACTCCCATTTTTACATTGCACAATTGAAAAATAGTAAGCAAGGGACATTTTTATATTGCACTTTGAAAAACAAACACCTCTGACGTTGCACTGTGGAAACAAACAGCAAGAAAAGTGAACAAAAATAGTAAAGGAGCGCTGGTGAAAAGGTGACTTTCTCCTCTGCTGATCTCGTCAGTCTTTTCCAGGCTTTTTGAGTTTGCTCTTCAGCTCTGACATCATCAGTGGGTTACCCATCCTACACAAACACACCAGACATTCAAGTGAAATTTGCATAAACAGGCCGAATGCAGTTTCGACTGAATTAAACATGTAGATATTTGTGTGCAGGTTATAATGATGTGATTAAAGTATTTTGGGCTGTACCCAGGATGCCTCGGTGGGGTCCATTTCGGTTTGTTGGCCGGCTGCTCTTGCTTGACACCGTCCTCTTTTGGTTCCGTCTGTGTGTCAGATTTCTGAAAAGGAAGAAACTGACCATGAACAGTAACTCAGTATCTGCTCATTCAAATTCAGCGGTCTGTTAGCATTTCTGCACACAGTCTAGTCAAATTGCTGTTTGCGGACATGCTGCCCAGAGCGCGACCCGTGAGAAAGTTTGATTTGGCCTGCCTGAAACCCTACACTGGAAAAAAACGGTATCTTGTTAGGGCCGAATGATTTGGGGAAAATATCTAATTGTGATTTTTATGACCAATATTGCAATAATTTAAATGCAGTAATTTACTTAAGCAGTAGAACACAGAGGGAGTGTGTTGTCGCGAAATAACATCACGGCTGTGATTCGGTCGCCGTAGATCATCACAGCCGTGATGTTATTGGCGATAACACACTCCTCGAGTGTTCTGTTGCTTTAATACAACAGTTAAATAAATACAGTAATAAATTAATAAACTGGGCCGTGAACGCGGCGTTTAATATGTTTTAATGTTCGCAGTTCCTTCACCAAATTATAGTTCCTTAACGAGCAGCTTGTTGATACGTCAGAGTAACGAGCTCCGCCCACTCGCTGCACAGTCTGCTGTAAGCCTCACCTTCTGAAGTACAGACTGAGCCATAAAACTGCCGCAATATCAAGTTCAGCTCAGTTTTGTCAGTTTTTGCCAGATCAGTATTAATGTTGTTTTGTTCCAGCCAGTCTGTAAAGCATCTTACAGCCCGTTTAGTTTGGCGAATGGTGTTGGGTTCATTTCTGGCTGATTCCAGGTTGTTTAGCTGTTCTTCTGTCACAGCTGCCGACTGAAAAGCTGCTCAGTGGTGATGACAGTTTGGGAATTTAATGTCGTCTCATCTTCAGAGTCTGACCAAATCGGCTGTCGGTCAAATGTGATCTTATTTTCATGTCCTTTCATGTCCATTTTCTGTTTGTGGCAGAGTAAGAAATAAAAACGTTCAAATGTCTTGAGCGTCTCCTACAGCTGTCAAAGTCGCTGCTTAGCAACGGCGTCGCAGCGGAGTGATACAGCGTTTGTGAAAAAAGAATGCTTCTCAACCAATCAGCTTACGTGGCCGGAACTAACTGTTGTATAATATAAATTAATTTCCAGGCCTGTTTTTTGGCCAAGAAAAGCAGAATATCCATTTTTTTCTGGCATTAAGTTTGTACGCTGAGTGTTTCAGACTACCAGTTAGTTGTGATGGTTGTGATGTCACTTATACAGAGCATGGGTCTTTTGGAGCTTCTGATAGTCCAGCTCATCTACAGGCAGCTCACACTCTGTTATTAGGTGTTTTTTTCCCATTTAAAACAGGTTAAAACAACATCGCTGTTAATGTATTAAATAATAAAAATCGCAGCTCTTACTATTTACACATTGCACTCTTTCAAATTGATTGACACTGACAGTGTCTCAAATCTAGTGACTATATATTAACATTTCTCATGCTGAGATTGTTGTAAGCTTATTATAAGACTATTAAATTTTGTGTTTCTTCACATTTTTCTTAAATTAAATGGAGCGTTCCTGTCCTAAAATCTGATTGGCTGATCTGCAATTGAAGTCATTGTAAAATCCAGTATATATATACGCACAGCTATGACCACCTCACAGCAACTGAACTCTGTCTCATGCTGCTTGCATGGACCACAGAGTGTACTGAAGAAGTACCCTAAACTGAGGGGCTGACAACTTATGTCCTTAACTAGAACCAGGCTGGTCAGCTAGCTAACAGGCTAAAAGAGCCAACAGCCTAAACAACTCCATCATTAATATCACAGACTTGAATTAAAGCACTTACGGTCTGATTAACTGTAAAACGGCAGAATAAAAGTCTAAATATGTTGCTTGAATGTCTTTCACACTTCAAATGTCCATGTTTTAGTCAGACGTTGCGTCAAACCCAGGCTGAATCCCAAACGGCTCTGTACTCCCTAAATAGTGTGCCAGATATTAAAGCTTGGATATTCTAGCCTCCATAGCCAAACAGTACATCATTTATCGAGTAAACAGTGCTGTGTTATCATATGTTCACTGTTCTATGACAAAAAGTTAAAACGTTCATGAAATGACCGCAGTGTACAGAGAAGGATGACCAAACGTTCTCCTCTTTCAGCGGTCCATGGCTGCTTGGCAACGATCTCATACTCCAACACCCTTCACCGTGATAAAATCGCAGTAACGCACAACCTCTTGTCTTAATATAGTGGGATAATTTTACTTACTAATCTTACTTAAAACGGGGCAGCACGGTGGCGCAGTGGGTAGCGCTGTCGCCTCACAACAAGAATGGCCTGGGTTTGATTCCCGGCCGGGCGACCAGGGTTCTTTCTGTGTGGAGTTTGCCTGTTCTCCCCGTGTCTGCGTGGGTTTCCTCCGGGTACTCCGGTTTCCTCCCACAGTCCAAAAACATGCAGTCAGGCTGACTGGACACGTTAAATTGCCCCTAGGTGTGAGTGAGTGTGTGACTGTGTATGTCTGTCTGTCTGCACTGCGATGGACCGGCGACCTGTCCAGGGTGTATCCTGCCTTCCGCCCAATGACAGCTGGGATAGGCTTATAAGCGGTTTAGATGATGTATGTATGTATGTTACTTAAAACAACTAGCAAAATGTCTAGTTAAATAATCTTATAATAAGCTTACAAAAGTCGCATGAGAAATATTAGATATAATAGATAGATAAGTAGATAAATAGATACTATTTTTCACACTGTAAGCCAACTTCCCCATCCAGTGAGAACAGATTTTCAAACTGTATAATAACATATTCAGTTCTTATTGCCCTTTTGAAGTTATATGTGTATTGTTTTGTCTTTTTGGCCCCTGTGAAAAAGTGTGTGCACCTCCGCTATCAGCTGTATATTTTTCTATGTGAAAAATCCAGTTTTGCTGTCGTTTGCATGCCTGTGTCTGTGTCTGCGTGGATGGGCTCTCTGTTTCTCCCTCATCCCTCATTTTTTTGCCAGCTTCAGTTTTCCTCAACACCGGGAAACCAGCACCCAGACCTGAACATGACAAAAAATAAATAAATTAATTAATTAAAGAACAAGAAAAACAAACTACCTGCATACCAGAGTTTTTTTACTGGTGTACAGCAAAAACGCCAACACTATCACAATAAGAGTCCTTTAGAATTCTACACCCTTCTAAAAAATGATGCTTCTTCAAGGGTTCTTTAGTGAAGAAAATGGTTCTATATAATACCATGACATCACGAAAGGGCTCTTCAAATTGATGGAGAATGTGCGGTATATGGTTCTCTATAGAACCTTTTTGAAAAGGGTTCTATATAGCACCTAAAGGGTTCTGCTACAGTTACAATGTCAAGCCTTTAACAATAAAAGAGCCTTTCTGGTGCTATACACCTTTTCCAAAAAGGTTCTATACAGATCTATCATAATAAGAGTCCTATATAATTCTACACTCTTAAAAAATTGGTTCTTCAAGGGTTCTTTAGTAAAGAAAATCCTTCTGTATAACACCAGGAACACTCGAAGAACCCTTTGGATGAACAAAGGTTCCTTGCACCGTAAACTGGTTCTTCAGATTGATGGACAATTTGCTGTGGATGGTTATATATAGAACCTTTTGTGAAAAGGGTTCTATATAGCACCAAAAAGGGTTCTTCTGTTGTTACGATGCCAAGCCTATAAATCAGCAGAACGCTTTTAGGTCCTATATAGAACACTTTTCACAAAGGTTCTATTTAGAAGCATATAAAACACACTTTCCATCAATCTGAAGAACGCATTAATGATGCAAAGAAACTTTTAATCACACAAAGCGTTCTTTAACTGTTTATGGTTCTCTATAGAACCACTGTCTTTACTAAAGAACCCTTGAAGAATCATCTTTTATAAATGTGTACTGTTTACTTGAGTTTTATTGAACACTAAACTATCTATTAAACACTTGATGAATTTATACCATCACCACTGCTGCTAATAATAAAAAGGAGAAATAATAAATAATAAATACTAATAAGTGTTAGTCGTTGTGGCTTGTTGAGAAAGAAGAATTGCTAATAATTTGAATCTGAATTTGTCTTTTACTGAATTACAACATCAGAGTTTTCCAACCTACCAGGCAGTTTGAACCCAATGACTTTCTGTGGTGTGGCGAGCGCTTCTCCATGAACCTTCTTCAGAGGACTGGGGTGTGGAGGGCGAGCGGGAGCCAGGGGCTCCACCGAGGCCATGTTTATGAGCGTACGGGGGTCTTTGGGTGGTCGAACGTTGGGGTTTTTCACTGCAATTTTTGACTTCTGGACAGTGCAGTCCAACGATGAGACCTAAGGAATTTGGACAACTGCAGTGAATTTCTGAACTTCACATTAAATCCAGTAATGATCAATGACAGTGAAGCCCACAGCACACGAGCCCAGCATTCCCCACAGACACTAATACTCTCATGTTGAGAATAGAGGAGAACATTCTAGAACAGTGTGAATGGGGGGCGTTCTAGAGTAAGGGTGTAACGATTTCAATATGGTATCAGAAAACTGAATTTAAAAGTGTATGTACACGCTTAAAAAAAAAAGATGGTTCTTCAAGCGTTCGTTAGTAAAGAAAATTGTTCTATAGAGAACCATGAACACTCAAAGAACCCTTTACATGATTAATGGGTTCCTTGCATGGTGAAAGGGTTCTCCAGAAGGATGGACAATGTGCTATGGATGGTTCTATATAAAACCTTATATAGCACCAAAAAGGGTTCTTTTACTGTATCAAGCTTGACATCGTAACAATAGAAGAACCCTTTTTGGTGCTATACAGAACCATTTTCTGTAGCAAAGAACCCTTGAAGAACCATCATTTTTAAGTTTGTAGGACCAGCTACAACACATTCTCCAATCTGAAGCACGCTTTCATGATGCAAAGAGTGCTTTAGTCATGCTACAGGTTCTTTGAGTGTTCATGGTGCTATATAGAACCATTTTCTTTACTGAAGAACCCTTGAAGAACCATCAGTTTTAAGAGTGTAGCCGACTTTCTAACGTTCCAGAATTAGAACTGACAAACCAAATGAACCAGTGCGAATGGAGGGAGAGGGGGCACTAAAGAACAGTGTAAACAGGAATGACATGGTCTAGAACAGCATTAATAGAGAAGAACATTTTAGAACAGTTTGAACGGTTACAAAAACGTTTGTAACAGGATGACTGGGAAGAACAATTTAGAACAGTATGTATGGGAAAAACATTCTAGATCAGTGAGAATGGGGAAGGAAATACTCAAGCAGTGTAAATGGTAATAAAATGGTCAAGAGAACACTCTAGAACAGCCTAAATAGTGGGGAACATTCTAGAACAGTGTAAATGGGGAGAACATTCTAAAAGTGTGAATGGGGAGTGATGTTCTAGAGTAAAGGTGTAACAATTTCAATACATTAATGGAAAATCAAATTTGAAACTGTATGTACGCCCTTAAAAAAATGGTTCCTCAAGAGTTCTTCTGTAAAGAAAACGGTTCTACATAAAACTGTGATCACTCAAGTAACGCTTTGCATGATAAAAGTGTTCTTTGCATCATGAAAGGGTTCTTCAGATTGACGGAAAATGTGCACTAATGTGCTACAGATGGTTCTATACAGAACCTTTTTGAAAAGGGTTCTATAGCATACAAATGCTTGATATCATGACAACAGAAGAACTCTTTAGGGTTCTATAGAGAACCCTTTTCAAAAAGGTTCTATATAGAACCATCTACAGCACATTCTCCATCAATCTGAAGAAACTTTCATGATGCAAAGAACACTTAAATCATGCAAAGGGTTCTTTGACTGTTCATGGTTCTATATAGAACCATTTTCTTTACTAAAGAACTAAAACTATTTTGCAGACTTGATGTGTAAAAGCAGTGAAACACTGGAGATCCAGTGTTACAGTGAATAACATCACAGCTGTGATGATCTCTTTTCTTACTAAACGTATAAATTCACTATTACACTGTTTAAATGGGTTCTAAGCTGGAGATGTTCTGTAATGTGTGAGATCTGAGAGATCTGGGCCCTGTGTGTGGGACTACAGAGGTATAATGCATGTGTGCAGTGCATATTATGAACATATTAACATCAGCATGTAAACACAAGGCACGTTTTCAGGCACTTCTTAGTTCTGCCTTATCAAAAAATCCACTGAATTGAATTCTGAATATCGCTACACCCTTTTTCTAGACACTTCCCAGGTACACACCAATGTTTGGGTTTGGTGGAGAACATTAGGTGGGTGTGCTCTGGTTATTAAACAAAAAAGTGATCAGTTGGATCAGAGGGTCACCTGCTGAAGTAAAAGGTCCGGTGCTGCCCAGCTCCTCGACTTAGACGGTTCATCTTCTACATTTCTTGTCATTTTTTCTGCCCCTCTCTTCAGTGGAGGTCTGCTTCTTTCCTGTATGTTTCGCATTACTGTCTACTTCTGCTTCATCATCGGCTTTTGCGCCATCCTTTTCTCCCGCTACATTCTCAACTCCTGCGTTCTGAGGGTTCTCCCCACAGGCCTCACTTTCAATGTCCATTGTTTCTGCTTGTGAATGTTTCCTGTCCTCCAATGTATTATTAGGAAACTCACTGTGCACCTGCAAGGCTGTACTCTCTGACGTTTCCACATCACTTTCCCTCTCCTTTGTTTCGGTCTGAACGTCTGATTCTTTCGACAAGCTCTGAGCTTCCTCCAAGTCTTGGGTCAGCCCACTCATTACTTCCTCCACGACTCCCAGCGAGGTCACAGCGGTCTTTATTTCATCCTGTAATCCAATCTTGGTCTCATCAGGATCTCTCTGCATCTCCAGCGCTTCATCAGCATCTTTCTGCACGTTCGTTTGTATCTCTGACATTTGCGGATTCATTGGTTCACTCTCTGGCAGACTCGAAGCCCCCGAGTATCCAATCTGGACTTTGGTTTCAACGTCAGATCTGTCTTGCGAGGTCCACTCTCCATGGTTTAATGGAATCTGACCTTCATCCAGAACAGAAGCTGATGTTTTGAGTGTTTCCAAGGCTTCCACAGCTGTCGGAGATGATTCATTTTCTGTTTTTGCATCCATTTCCGATTTTGCTTGCTCACGTTTCACTTCCGTTGAGGCCTGATCACTCTCAGCTGTTTCAGGCACTTCCACTTTCTGTTCAGCAACACAGGCCTTTGTTTCCACACTTAGGTTTGTTAACAACTCAGCACGTGCTGCAAAGGGGTCCTCTGGTTGGTCTACTTCCTGTAGCGAAGGCCTCAGCATTTCATCACCAGAGATTTCATCTTCTTGCTCTACAGAATTTGATTCTTGTTGCATTTCATTGACTTGTGTTTCTGACTTTTCTTGCATGGATTCTTCTTCAAGGTTGGATTGGCCCATAGTTTCCTGCAGAGCCAGTGCTTCTCTAGCTGTAGGCTTCTCTAAACTTCTCTCTGCTGATTTCTTCACATCATCCGCTGCAACTTCTCCTCCGACCTGCTGTTGAAATTCTGATGGTTGGTTAGTCTGGTTTCCAGGCCCTGCATCTACTGACTCACTGCCTTGCTTAATCACCATCTCTGGTACTCGCAATCCAATGAGATCGTGAGCTGCGCCATCTACAAGCTCCACTTCTGCTTTCAGGGATGGTTCTTCTTCTATATCCTCTTTACAGTGTTTAAATTGATCTGCTTCCACAATAAATGCTGACAAATCAGTTCCACCGTCAACTTGCTCATTTTCAGAGGTCACTTTCACCATTAGGTCCATTTTGCAGATAGCTTGAAGCCCTTTATCATCAATTTCAGCATTTTCCATCTGAGTTGTCACAGGTTCCTCCAATGGTTCGCATTCGGTCACCAGTATTTCCTCAGTAAATTGCGTTTGGGCTTCCGGCTTTGACTCACAGATGTCCACAGTTTCAGCAACTTTGGATTCACTGAACTGCTGACCAGCTTCATGCTGTCCATCCTTTACCGTTCCCATGATCTCCTGCTTTGTTTCCTCATTGCTGACATCGATTGCTTCTGCTTCTGGTGTTGGTGCTGCCTTGTTTTCAATACGTTTGCAAATGGGTTCTAGGTCTTGTCCAAAAGGTTCTGCACTTTCCATCTGTTCTGTTACAGGTTCCTCCAAGAATTCTACTTCCTCAGTACATTCATCCAGCTTTGACTCACATGCGTCAGCGATTTCAGCAGCTTTGTATTCACTGAACTGCTGATCCGCTTCATCTGGTGCTGTTCCCACAGTCTCTTGCTTTGATTCCCCAATGATCGCTTCTCTTTCTAGGGCCTTCTTTTCAATTTTGCTAACAGGTTCTAGCTCTTCTTCATATATTTCTGCATGTTCAGTCAGTCCTGTCACAGGTTCCCTCCAAAGGTTCATGCTTAGTCTCAACTATTTCCTCTGTAAATTCAATCTGGGCCTCATCCAACTTTGACTCAAAGATGTCAAAAGCTTTGGATTCACTGAACTGCTGACCTGCTTCATCTTGAGCTGTTCCCACAGTCTCTTGCTTTGGTTCCTCGATGATCACGTCTCTTTCTGGTGCTTTCTTTTCAATAATTTCTTCTTCATAAACTTCTATATGTTCAATCTGTCCTATCACAGGTTCCTCCAAAGGTTCATGTTTAGTCTCGACTATTTCCTCTGTAAATTCAATCTGGGCTTCGTCCAGCTTTGGCTCATGGATGTCCAGTTTGTCAGCAATTTCAGAAGCTATGAATTCGCTTAACTGCTGTCCCGCTTCATGCTGCCCATCTGCAGCCACTTGCTTCGTTCCCTCATCGATGACCTCAATCATTTCTCTTTCTGGTGCCTTGTTTTCATTCATTTTGCTGACTGGTTCTGGTTCTTCTTCATAAACTTCTACATGTTCAATCTGTCCTGTCACAGGTTCCTCCATAGGTTCACGTTTTGTCTCAACTATTTCCTCTGTGAATTCAATCTGGGCTTCATCCAGCTTCGACTCAAAGATGTCAAAAGCTTTGGATTCACTGAACTGCTGACCGGCTTCATACTGTCCATCCTTCACCGTTCCCACGGTCTCCTGCTTTGTTTTCTCATTGCCAGCATCAATTGCTTCTCTTTCTGGTGTTGGTGTTGCCTTGTTTTCAGTACGTTTGCTAATAGGTTCTAGGTCTTGTCCAAAAGCTTCTGCATTGTCCATCTGTTCTGTTACAGCTTCCTCCAACAATTCACATTCAGTCTCCGCTATTTCCTCAGTAAATTCCTCCAGCTTTGAGTCGCGGACGTCAACAATTTCAGCAGGTTTGGATTCACTGAACTGCTGACCCGCTTCATCTGGTGCTGTTCCCACAGTCCCTTGCTTTGGTTCCTCAATGATCGCTTCTCTTTCTGGGGTTGGTTCTGGTTCTTTTTCATAAACTTCTACATGTTCAATCTGTCCTGTCACAGTTTCCTCCAAAGGTTCATGTTTAGTCTCGACTATTTCCTCTGTAAATTCAATCTGGGCTTCGTCCAGCTTTGGCTCATGGATGTCCAGTTTGTCAGCAATTTCAGAAGCTATGAATTCGCTTAACTGCTGTCCCGCTTCATGCTGCCCATCTGCAGCCACTTGCTTCGTTCCCTCATCGATGACCTCAATCATTTCTCTTTCTGGTGCCTTGTTTTCATTCATTTTGCTGACTGGTTCTGGTTCTTCTTCATAAACTTCTACATGTTCAATCTGTCCTGTCACAGGTTCCTCCAAAGGTTCACGTTTTGTCTCAACTATTTCCTCTGTGAATTCAATCTGGGCTTCATCCAGCTTCGACTCAAAGATGTCAAAAGCTTTGGATTCACTGAACTGCTGACCGGCTTCATACTGTCCATCCTTCACCGGTCCCACGGTCTCCTGCTTTGTTTTCTCATTGCCAGCATCAATTGCTTCCCTTTCTGGTGTTGGTGTTGCCTTGTTTTCAATACGTTTGGTAATAGGTTCTAGGTCTTGTCCAAAAGCTTCTGCATTGTCCATCTGTTCTGTTACAGGTTCCTCCAACAATTCACATTCAGTCTCCACTATTTCCTCAGTAAATTCCTCCAGCTTTGAGTCGCAGACGTCAACAATTTCAGCAGGTTTGTATTCACTGAACTGTTGACCCGCTTCATCTGGTGCTGTTCCCACAGTCCCTTGCTTTGGTTCCTCAATGATCGCTTCTCTTTCTGGGGTTGGTTCTGGTTCTTTTTCATAAACTTCTATATGTTCAATCTGTCCTATCACAGGTTCCTCCAAAGGTTCATGTTTAGTCTCGACTATTCCCTCAGTAAATTCAATCTGGGCTTCGTCCAGCTTTGACTTTTGGAGGTTCAGTTTGTCAGCAATTTCAGAAGCTATGAATTCGCTTACCTGCTGTCCTGCTTCATGCTGCCCATCTGCAGCCACTTGTTTTGTTCCCTCATTGATCTTTTCTCTTTCTGGTGTTGACACAGCCTTCTTTTCAGTAATTTTGCTGACTGGTTCTGGCTCTTCTTCATAAACTTCTACATGTTCAATCTGTCCTGTCACGGGTTCCTCCAAAGGTTCATGTTTAGTCTCAACTATTCCCTCTGTAAATTCAATCTGGGCTTCGTCCAGCTTTGACTCAAAGATGTCAAAAGCTTTGGACTCACTGAACTGCTGACCATCTTGTGCTGTCCCCACAGTCTCTTGCTTTGGTTCCTCGATGATCACGTCTCTTTCTGGTGCCTTCTTTTCAATAATTCTGCTAATTGGTTCTGGCTCTTCTTCATAAACTTCTGCATTTTCAGTCTGTTCTGTCACAGGCCCCTCCAATAATTTATACGCAGTCTCAATTCCCTCAGTTTGGTCTTCATCCAGCTTTGACTCAGAGATGCCAAGAGTTTCAGCCGTTTTGGACTCATCTAACTGCTGCCTCGCTTCACGTTCCTCGATATTATCGATTGGCTGCCTTTCTGGTGCTGGTTGGGTCTTTTTTTCAATAATTTTGCTGATTGATTCTGGCTCTTTTTCATATGTTTCTGTATTTTCAATCTGTCCTGTCACAGTTTCCTCCAAAAGTTCATGTGTAGTCTGAACTATTTCCTCTGTAAAGTTAATCTGTTCTTCATCCAGCTGTGACTCACACACTTCGGCAGTTTCAGTTTCAGTTAACTGCTGACCTGCCTCATGCTGCCCATCTTTTACTGTTCCCACAGCTCCTTGCTTTGTTCCCACATTGTTGACATCGATCACTTCCCTTTCTGGTGTCGCCGTGGCCTTGTTTTCAGTCGTTTCATCCACTTTGAGTTCTTTGTTTAAAAGGTCTCCTTGTTCCCTCGCTGAAGAGGTCAGCTGGAATACCCAATCATCTGCCAACTGTGATGTACGTTCATCATTTGAGTCCTGGTCATCAGTGGGTTTCTTCTCTACTGAGACCTCTGCGATGTCTCCAAAACCTCCTTGCGCAGCAGACTCATCCACTGCTTCCCTTTCATTTTCAGCGCCCTCACTCCTTTCCCATATCATCAGTCCTATTTTCACTCCTTCTAGCATCTACATCCTTATCACTCACAGAAACTCCGAAGTCTTGGCTGCCCTCAGTGGACGCAGGTGGACAAACTTGGTCAACGCTAGCAACAAACTCATTTGTTGTGGCTGCCTCGTTGTTATTTTCCGACGTTCCCTCATTATCCCGCTGCTCCTGTGCTTTCTTGTCCTCTGAATGTCCCTCCTGAACCCCGACATTCCACGCGATACCACTGCGAGCAGGGTCTGCCCGTGTGCTCCCTGCGTACCTTCCCCTTTTCCCACTGAGCGGCGGCGGTCCGCACGCTGACCCCAGCTTGGGGTCTCTCACTTTGGCTCTGTGCCTGGGCCTCACTCCGTTCTTTCTCTTCTTCATTTTCCTTTAACTCCCTGTAACTCTTAGCCGCTGTGTCTTCCTGTTGAACGTCCTCGCTCTGGTCGTCTTCGTTTGTGACCTCTGGTCGTAAATATCTTCCCACGGCCCCTGAGAGGTAACCCTGCACACACACACATAGAGCAAGAAAATATGGCAGTCAGTTACAGTCTGTGAGAAGCAGTTAGATTTAAGATTGAGGAGTTCTATTGTGATATACACAGTAAACAGGTGGTTACACTGAACAATGGAGTTCTGACTTTGTTAATCCTCTGTGCACAAATAATGAAATGACCTGTGCAGTTTTGTGCAGCTGTAATAAAGTTCCTACAGAGCTCTCGTTCATGTGTTTATTCAAAGGGCAGGTCTCTTACAGGGTAAATGGCCAGTTACAAAACATACACAACTCAAAAACACTCAATGCTGAACTACTAGCCCGAAAAACTGTGATGACTATTCTCAAATGTATGAAGCACTAATCACTACTGTTACAACAAACCTGCATCACCATAAGGAGCTTTCTAAGGAATTAAAATATTATGACATTATGAGCACCTCCTTCTTTCTACACTCCATTTTATCAGCTCCACTTACTATATAGGTGCACTTTGTAGTTCTACAGTTACAGACTGTAGTCCATCTGTTTCTCTGCATACTTTGTTAGCCCCCTTTTACCCTGTTCTTCAGTGGTCAGGACCCCCATGGACCCTCACAGAGCAGGTACTATTTGGGTGGTGGATCATTCTCAGCACTGCAGTAACACTGACGTGGTGGTGGTGTGTTAGTGTGTGTTGTGCTGGTACGAGTAGATCAGACACAGCAGTGCTGCTGGAGTTTTTAAACACTGTGTCCACTCACTGTCCACTCTATTAGACACTCCTACCTTGTCAGTCCACCTTGTAGATGTAAAGTCAGAGACGATAGCTCATCTGCTGCTGCACAGTTTGTGTTGGTCATCCTCTAGTCCTTCATCAGTGGTCACAGGACGCTGCCCATAGGACGCTGTTGGCTGGATATTTTTGGTTGGTGGACTATTCTCAGTCCAGCGGTGACACTGAGGTGTTTAAAAACTCCAGCAGCACTGCTGTGTCTGATCCACTCAGACCAGCGCAACACACACTAACACACCACCACCACATCAGTGTTGCCACAGTGCTGAGAATGATCCACCACCCCAATAGTACCTGCTCTGTGAGGGTCCATGGGGGTCCTGACCACTGAAGAACAGGGTAAAAGGGGGCTAACAAAGTATGCAGAGAAACAGATGGACTACAGTCTGTAACTGTAGAACTACAAAGTGCACCTATATAGTAAGTGGAGCTGATAAAATGGACAATGAGCGTAGAAACAAGGAGGTGGTCAAAATGTTATGCCTGATCGGTGTTTACATTTTTTTGAGTGTATATAAAAAAATAAAACTATATTTATTTGTTTTGTAGCTTTTAAAGAAAGTACATTACAGGCCAAACGTATGTGGAGTTCAGGTGTTTCAGCCACATCCATTGCTAACAGCAGTTTAAAATCAAGCACAGGGCCACATGCAATCCCCACAGACAAACACTGGCAATGACTTTAATCATGCCATCTTTGCCACAAGTCAGTTCCTGAAATGTCTACCCTGCTAGATCTGTCCCGGCCAAGTGCTGTTATTGTGAAATGGAAGCATCTAAGAGCAACAACAGCTCAGCCGCAAAACAGTAGACCACACAAACTCACAGAGCGAGGCCACAGAGTGCTGAAGAGTGCACCCTGCGAAGGTTCTGCTGCATCGCTCACTAAGGAGTCACGGACTGCCTCTGGAAGCAAATCAGCACAAGAACTGAGCATCAGGAACGCCATGAAACGGGTCTCCATGGCCAAGTAGCTGCACACAAGCCTAAGTTCACTAAGCGCAATGCCAAGCGTCAGATGGAGTGGTGTAAAGCACGGGTTCTCAACTGTTGCCACCACGAGGTGCACTTATTTGTCTCTAGCAAGCATGAAGGCCCACAAGAAAACACAACACAGCTTTTTTGCCTAAATACTTCATTCTGGGGGAAGCTCCTGCAATACGCAACGTGCATCAGTCGACATAAAATATCAACAGAACGGTACCAAATTAAGTGGAATGTTTCTACGACATTCATTTTTTTTCACAGTGTTGCAGGTGGACAACTGAAACATCAGGCGGAGAATATTTTGTTTTCAGAGCCAATAGGTAAAAAAGCTTTTGTGCTCTATTTTCACAGGCCTCGTATTACTGTTCTTTATTGTTTGGAAACATTTTCTAGCTTTTTTAATTGTTAAGTCGGTTCTTTTTTATTTTAATGACAGAGTGCCATCGAAGACCCAGCATGGACAACTGGCACCCCCTCAGTGTTGGCCTTAGGGCCAGCAGAGGGAGTTTCAAGGCCCACTTGTGGGCCATGGCCCAGTGGTGGAGAAACCCTGGTGTAAAGCACTGCCACTGGACTCTGGAGCAGTGGAAACGTGCCCTCTGCAGTGATGAACCACACTTCACTATCTGGCAGTCTGATGATGAATCTGGGTTTGGGGGATGAAGAACGCCACCTACTGGAGTTTGGTGGAGGAGGGTTGATGGGCTGGGCTGTTTTTCAGGGTTTGGGCCCCTCAGTTCCAGTGAAGGGTGATATTAATGTTACGTCATACAAAGACATTTTACACAGTTATCTGCTTCCAGCTTTGTGTCAGCAGTTTGGGGAAGAACCTTTCCTGTTCCAGCATGACTGAGCCCCTGTGCACAAAGCAGCTCCATAAAGACATGGTTTGACAAGTTTGGTGTGGAGGAACTTCTCATATCATCATTATATCCAACAGCTTTATCAAACAACATATTTTATGTCCCTATCATGCAGCCCTAATGCTAATGTGTGCTCCATGCTGTTTAATAAGCATAAAATATAATATGATTTACAAGTATTTTAAAATGCTGTAGTTTGTGGTAAAAGCATATTTTTATATTGTACCCATCAATTTGCTGACCATTCTTATTCCATAAACTCACATCAGTCCAGAAATATTCTGACATGCCTTTTTTACACAGCATTAAGCAAGTTATTCATAACTGGTCAGTTTTTCCACAAACTGGAATCTGTGAAAATGTGCAGTGAGTCATACTGTGGCCTTCCTTTTCACAAACTGAGATGATTGTGTGAATGTTTTTAGGCCACGCTGTGTCAACACCTTTATCAGACAGGGCCTAAAACATTCACACAATCAACCCTGATTATGAAAAGGAAGCCTGCAGTCTAAGCGTAATTAGATGAACATAAAACTGCAGTCTGAACATATTCAGATAACAGCAAAAGCTTCAGTATTAACTTATTTTCAAGCTCTTTTTAAGTTTTACAGGGCAATTCCACTGAAATTTTAGCATAATTAAATGGTTAAGATTCATTCAGAGTAGTTTGGTGTGAAACTCTCCGTTCTAGAGAAACTTAACGAGTCAGAACTGTTCACAGTGGTGGTGATAGGAACCAGACGTCCACCTCTAAAAGCTCCCTCACAGAAAGTTACTACATGAAATGGTTATGAATTCACTGCCTGATGACTGAGACGTTGTTTTACAACAGTTTTCAAAGACGTTTTTGGCCTTAAACATGTATTGTAGTATTCATGATATAATGAATAAACTCAGAAGACTCGTGTAGGTTCACTGGAGGTTTTAGATAGTAAATAAAATGTCTATATTTGTGTTGTAGTCATGGCGACCCCTGGTTCCTATCACCACCACTGTAAAGACATCTGAACCATTTCATACCAAACCACTCTGAATCACTCTGATTACATCTCAAACACTAAAATATGAAGAAATTTTGAAAAGTTGGTGGAATTCCCCTTTAATTCCATTGGCTTTCACTTGCAGACACTTCAAGAACCTGGATTGCTGAAAGCCTCCTGGACATTACCTGAAAAGTAGGCTCTTCCCCTCCCTTAGGAATCCTAGGGGGTTTAAAGGGGAATTCCACCATTTTTTTAAAACTTTCGGCATGATCAAATTGCTGATTTATTATATATATATATACACACACACACACACACACACACACACACACACACATACATATGTGTGTGTATGTATATAAAACGTAGTAAGATGTCTTTACAGTGGTGCTGATAGGAACCAGAGGTTACTGTCCGAAACCACCAGTGAACCTACACACATCTGAATTATGATATGTAATACATATATTTCTAAAATAGCGTTAAACCTGTGGAAAAACGTTTTTCTTTGGGGACTATTTAGCCTCAAAACACCCAGCATGTATCTCTCCTGCACAAATACACAAATATTAAAATAAAAACAAGCCAAAACCTTCATAAATCCATCATAAAACAGTGTCTCAGCCATCAGGCAGTGAATTCATAACCATTTCTTGTAGTAACTTTCTGTGAGGGAGCTTTTAGAGGTGGACGTCTGGTTCCTATCACCACCACTGTGAACAGTTCTGACTCTGTAAGTTTATCTAGAACAGAGCGTTTCACACCAAACCACTCTGAATGACTCTGTTTACATCTGAACAGTTTAATTAAGCTTAATTTTTGGAAATTAGTGGAGTTGCACTTCAAGTCTTAAACATAACTTCTAAATCACCCTGAAATAACCGGACACTGACTCACCCAGACTGTCCAAATCGTGCGACCAATTCGGTTTATTGAGCTTTCAGACCCCTCCATCGCTGAAGAGCCTCAAAATGAGCTTGGCTGCTGATGAAAGGTCAGAAGAGCACAGGCGGGTTTTCCCTCAGTGTCCAGTCGAACACGCGAAAAGGCATAAAGTTGGCTGAGACGCGTTTCTGTGTCGTGGAGGTCGCAGTTCTTCGGTTCCTGATGCTGAGAAGACTTTTCTTCTGAAGGAGGAAGAGGACGATGAGGTCAGACCGAACAGAAGCACGAGCTGAAGTTTGCCTCTCGTTGGCCAGCGTCTTATTAGTCCTCTCCGTTCCACCTTAAGTGTAACTGGTACGTGTAACAGCAGGGCCATTTAAAGTGGAACGGAGAGTTCGAATAGGAAGCCAGTCTAAGCTCAAGCCTCGACATCGCAGCCAATAGCGATAGCAGAGGACGCGTGCTGGTCTGCGGTGAGGAGAAAAGGCAGGCTTGTTCATTAAACGCCATTAGAGCTGCAGTGTCCGACCACAAAACACTGAGACTTCTCTAAAATAAACACAGCTCAGCTAGCCCACTTCCCTTCACTGCTGTACACTCACTGTAAGTACGAGTTTTAGCACAAAGGAGCACATCCAGTCATTTTTCCTGAAGTCAATTTATAACATTAGTGTACATTTATATACCAAAAACAAGCACTTATTTTTATCTGACCACTTTCCAACCTTTCTTTACCCCTTAGCTTTAAACAGACTGTGCCTTTAAAGGGCCTGTATTATAGAAAACTGAATTCTCCTCACTCATGTTAAAAATAAAGAGTGTGTGTGTATATATATATATATATATATATATATATATATATATATATATACACATATATATATATATATATGTGTGTGTGTGTGTGTGTGTGTTTATATATATATATACATGTATATAAACTGGTCATCTTAAGGGGCTCATATCATAGAAAACTGCATTCTTCTCACTTTTAAAAATGTTAAAAATAAACAGTATATATATATATATATATGTATATATGAGCGTAAAACTTTAACATTGTTTACATTTTACCAACTCTTTTGTTTCATATAGTGAAGAAAATTCATTTTGCTATGATACGGGTCCTTTAAACAACTCAACTGGTCATCTTAAAGAGCTCATTTCATGGAAAACTGAGTTCTCACTTTTTTTAAATAAACAGTATATATATGTATGTATATATGAGCAGGAAACTTTAACATTGTTTACATTTTACCAACTCTTTTGTTTCATATAGTGAAGAAAATTCAGTTTGCCATGATATGGGCCCTTTAAACAACTCAACTGGTCTTCTTAAAGAGCTCATATCATAGAAAACTGACTTCTGCTCACCTTTTTTAAATAAAGAGTTTGAGTTTTATGCAAACACTGTTACATTTTCCAAACATACACTTCAGTCCATACAGTCCATTTATGAAAACTAAGCTGCAACTTGGAATTAACTGTTTTTGTGATGTCACACAAGGCAAAGCATGTCCACCTGTTTGGCCTACAGCAGTTTAGCTTTGCCCATTCCTGCTGAAGTCAAATTTCAGCCTGGACTGCTTTTTTGAATGAGGCACCATACATGACAGCCAATCAGAACAGGGCTCATTTACATACATAAAACCACACAAATGTCATGAGTAGACCACGGAAGTAAAAACAATGCAGGAAAAATGTAGGATGTGGGCCCTTTAAAATTGATGCATGTAAATGAGCTCTGTTCTGATTGGCTGCCTTGTATTGTAGCTCAAGCAGGACACAGGGCTGATACAGTTGTAACTTCACTACGAATGGGCGGGGCTTAACTGCCGTAGGTCGAAATAGGCAGATATGTGTAAAAGTGTTGGTTTTCATGACATCACAAAAACAATGAATTCCAAACACTCCAAAACACACTGTTTTTAGCGGTATAGTTTGCCTATATGGAGTATACATATATAATAAACATTAACCGTGTTTACAAACCATTAACCATTTTACAAACCCTTTTGATTCAAACAGCAAACAAAATTCAACTTGCTGTGATACGGGCCCTTTAAACAAGCAACCTAGTCATCTTAAAGGGCCCATAATCATGGAAAACAGAATTTTTCTCCTTAACTAAAAGACTTTGATGTAGTATGTAAACACTGTTGAAGTTTAATATTAACTATTCACTCCCCAGTCTGTACAATCCATTTATGTAAACTACGCTGTAAAAACAGCTCATTTTGAATTCATTGTTTTTTGTGATGTCATGAAAGCCGACACACTTATATATATCTGCCTACAGCAGTTTAGCCCTGCCTAATCACGCTGAAGCTATAAGGAGTGTTTCAGCCTGGACTGCTTTTTGAATGAGGCACAGCCAATCAGAACAGAGCCTGTTTGCATACATCAGTCTTAAAGTCACAGCAACAGAAACGGCCTGTTTATTTCCAAGAGATAAACAGAGGCTGAAAAACGGTCATGTGGAAAAAATACCAGAAAAATGTAGGAGGTTGGCTCTTTAATGAATTAGTCTGAACTATAGACGTGCTTAGCACTCTTCAGCAGATGAAACACGTCCCACCACATGATGATAAAGCCTGCTGTTTTTTTTTAATGTGAGCATTTATCATCATGTGGTGGGACGTGTTTCATCTGCTGAAGAGCGCTAAGCACTTCTATGGTGCATTTGTGGTTGATGTTCCATTGTGGTGGAGTTTAGATGCTGGCTATCTTAAACACAGGGTCAAAATGAGCCTCTTTGTTACTGCTGTCATTTTACACCCACCGTCTACACCTTCTCTCTCTCTCTTTCTCGCTCTCTCACACACATACAGAAAAGAAAGACATTTCCTGTATGCTACGTTTTGTATCACTAGATAAGCAACAGTGACCAAAAGCACAAACAAAACGACAAATATAACTTTAATTTGCCTTTGTTCACTCGACTGAGGCTCGGCCCTTTTTTCAAGGCCACCACAAGTGGGAGGAACTGTTGTTTGGTTTGTGTTGTGTTCTGTACGAAGTCTGTTTTAGTACAATACGACCGTAAGTGTAATTGCCGCTGCGCACCAGCACAATGGATTTGAAATAGAGCAGTATTTAAAGGGCACATACCAGCCTAGTAGTGGACGGTGTGGGCAAACATTGAAATCACGGTACAATTAAGATTGTTAAGATTTCTGTTTATACCACAGTGTAGTGTGTTTATGCATATTTTTTCAAATAAAACCATTTTGGATGCTTAAGGAAACGTTTTTTTGTGGATTAATAGTGGCATACTATTCTGGACGTCCCTTCACTTTTAATAAGAACCGTATTTATTACCTGAAGTAAATCAGAAATATTTTTATTGGGTGAAATAGTAAAAACAAACATGAACAACCTGTAGACAGATATCAGTATTTCTAACCCTAACGAGATAAAAGCGACAGCATGCAAAGCCCACAGCAGCTTCTCTCGTGCAGTGGTTACATTGTGGTGTTTGATGTCATTTGTCTGACGTGTGCGTCTCTCACATTTGAGCTTTAATCTATGAGTGTCAGACGCTGCTGGAATTTAGCTAGGAAAGCTGCAGAGCCTCTCGGCTTGAAGGCCAAGACTGAAGCAGCTGGCTGAGCGAGGAGCACAGCACACAGCTAGGCTAGTGGCTAACAGCTAACCCTAAGAGACTGGCTTTTCCTTCCACTCTCTTTTCCTTCTGTTAACTCATTAACTCATTACAATCTGATGTCACTCCATTGACAACATGCTGGACTAACTGACCTCAGACTGCATCTCACTATACGAGAGGTGAGGGATGTTTGTATGACGCGTTATCTGCATATATTTGCCTACTTATATAACGGTAATGTCAAAACTAATACCTTAAGAAGAATTTCAACCGGTATATTGCCCAGTACTACATCAGCCTGTCTTGACCTCAGTAATGTCATGAAAACCAGGCTAATCTACATGTATCCACATTTTCCTGTTACAGCAGTTTAGCCCTGCCCACTTATAGACATCACTGCTTTTTGACAGAGAAAACGCAGGACAGCCAATCAGAACAGAGCTCATTAACAAAAACAGTGCTAGAGAGGTCGGAAAATGGTCATGTAGAAATGAAGTATTATCATTTCGGTACATAAAATTACACAAATGTTTTAAGTGCATTTAAAAAATATGGTTCTTCAAGGGTTCTTTAGTAAAGAAAAAACAGTTCTATATAGAACCCTGCATATAGCACCAAAAAAGCGTTTTTCTATTGTTACAATGTCAAGAATGTAACAATAGAAGAACACTTTTGGGTGCTATATAAAAACATTTTTAAAAAAGGTTCTATATAGAACCATCTACAGCACATTCTCTATCTATCTGAAGAACACTTTCACGATACAAAGAACCATTTAATCATGCAAAGGGTTCTTTGAGTGTTCATAGTTATATACAGAACCATTTTTTTTTACTAAAGAACCTGCTGGTGTGCTGGTCTGAGTGGATCAGACACAGCAGCGCTGCTGGAGTTTTTAAACACTGTGTCCACTCACTGTCCACTCTATTAGACACTCCTACCTTGTCGGTCCACCTTGTAGATGTCAGAGACGATAGCTCATCTGCTGCTGCACAGTTTGTGTTGGTCATCCTCTAGTCCTTCATCAGTGGTCACAGGACGCTGCCCATAGGACGCTGTTGGCTGGATATTTTTGGTTGGTGGACTATTCTCAGTCCAGCAGCGACACTGAGGTGTTTAAAAACTCCAGCAGCACTGCTGTGTCTGATCCACTCAGACCAGCACAACACACACTAACACACCACCACCACGTCAGTGTTACTGCAGTGCTGAGAATGATCCACCACCCAAATAGTACCTGCTCTGTGAGGGTCTGTGGGGGTCCTGACCACTGAAGAACAGGGTTACAAAGCATGCAGAGGAATAGATGGACTACAGTCTGTAACTGTAGAACTACAGAGTGCTCCTATATGGTCAGTGGAGCTGATAAAGTGGACAATGAGTGTAGAAACAGGGTAAATGTACCTAATAAAGCGCTCAGTGAGGGTAGATGTGCAGTGCAAAATCTCTAATAGACTGTTTGCGATTTATAAAAACTTTATTGTAATGAACTTTTCACTGCTGCACACAGAACTGTACAGCAACATCAGCAAGAACAGCACAGACCAACATAAATACTTCTGATACAGATGAACACCCTCAACATGCCCTGACAGTTCAGCAGGTGGTACGTCCAAGCCTCCGAGCGTTCAACATTCCTCTGCGTGTGGGCTTTAAACTCTCTGATGCTTAACTCTTTAGGCCCTTTAAACTTTAAAGTCAAGAAAGTTTCATAATCTCCCTTCATTACCGGCACTTCTGTAACGAGTTACATCATTAGTAGTGAAACTGGAGTACGTTTTATTATAAGAACGACAAAATGAACGAAGTTGTTGACACTCAGAGCTGAATACGTGACAAAAAGAGACAGAAAATAGGTTGTAGGTAATAATTTTATCTTCTTTACAAATAAACACGTGGAGGAAAATCCTAGGGATGACACATTATGGCAATACTTCCTCTTCAGGCTCTGTAAGAATAAGAAAAGCCCAAGTTAGGTTGGACAGAGGGGCAGAAAGACACATTTATGAAAGGGGAATTTCACTGCTTTCTCAAAATTTCAGCATAATTATAATATTAAGACACAAACAAAGTAATTCAGAGTGGTTTGGTGTGAAATGCTCCATTCTAGAGAAACGTACAAAG